TTTGTTATTTTGCACTATTGCATCACAATTACCACAAATAATATTCCCTACACTTTCATTGACTTTCTTGTTTTTTTATGGGCGAAGCTCCTTGAGGCGTGGGTCAGTCTATCCCTTGTTTGTATGTAGTAGTACGTAACCACCGGTGGCCCATACACGCTCTATAGCGGGTATGTGCCACAGGGGATGCGAGACGAAAGATGGCAATACTTGGAGTGTTCGCTAGATGGACGCACGGTCGGATGGATAGACGCGCGGATGTACGGACGGATGGACGCACGAACAGGCAGACAGATGTATAGACTGACTCACGGACGGACGCATGGACAGATAGACGGAGGCATGGATGGTCGCGCGGACGGATGGATGGAAGCATGGACGGGCTGACGAACGCTTCACCCCAATCATCATTCACTCCGTGCATATGCTGTGATTCTTTTTCTAATCAATGTAACCTAACCTACTCGGCTCAATGTATACCAAACGCGCCTATAGCTGACCGTGCCGTCCTAAGTACGCGCGTGCGCACTTCGTTCCGCATCCCTATCTTATCCGGCTGTGGGCAACGCGGTGGTCTGCCAAGTAAGAATTTCGCGTCGCCCGCAATCGCCTGCTCAAGGCTGTTCACACCCGAACGCTTCGATGCAACTACAACAGAACGCGTACGACAGCACGCGGAAGTGAGAACGCGCCCTCCATACACGAGAACAATTGTCTGCAATCGCGAGGCGTCGTCACACGTGTATACACAAGCGCCGTCGGCAGCAAAGGTGCCGGCTATACTTGGTTACGTTACGTATATACGTTTACTCGAGAATAAAAAATAGCTGCGCAGTGGACACGGACCGCTGAGCAGACGACACACCCGTCTGCTCGTTACAGTCGTGGTAGTATGCGTTTATTTCATTTTTTTTCTTGAAGCGTTAAAGCTGACGCACTAGCTCTGCAGTCTACTCCTACACTTTCGCAGCCGTTAAGTGTGTACTACTTAAGTAAAGGCTACATACACGTAGCGTAGACAATTGAAATACATGGTTTTCCAACATCAAAACAATACAGAATCAAAGGGTCTGAAACCTCTATGGACTACCCCTACGATACGGGCTACCCGTATACGTGAGTTTTCCTTAGATTTTCTCTATAGGGGTTAAACACAACGCAGCACATCACAACAAAAATAACACAACGTAACGCAACATAACATGCACGCACACTCAACACACACACATGCACAAAAGCCGCAATCACACACAGCAACTGAGCACCCCGCACCGACAAAGAAACAACGGCGCTGACCACGGCTCAGACATTTTTGACAGCGCCCCAATTATCCCTTCATCGTCAAACAAGAGGGGGGCAACTCGTTTGTTGGTTCATTATCTGCCAGAAGTGTCAACCCCGCCTCGACGTCCACGTCCGCGTATCTAAGCCCGCATCTGCGCTACGCTTCACAGACTCGACTCGGGAGGCGCTGTGAGCGTGAGTGTACGGTACGGGGCGACAGCTGACGCCCCCACTTCGGGCGCCAAAACATAACCTAACCACCGCCGCGACGACAGATTTAGAAGAACGACTTGCGAAGGGGTGGTTACGCATCACCGGTATGATCTGTTGCGAGTCGAGAACGGAGTCAGCCGCCGTTCTATGTATACATTCTGGCCGCCGTCCGAACGCCCATACGCAGTGAGTTCGCGACGGTCGCCTTCAGTGTCGCTTGCACCGGGGCCACGGCTGCAGTTTTAGCAAACAGAAAGGAAAAAAACAAGCAAACAGCATAACTACATTTTTTTTCTTTGCATCCTAGTCAACGCAACTGGCCACTGAGACGGTGCCGTACTATTCTTAACGACTGGGAGCGACTTTTCTTTCTCAATTTCAGCAAGACATGGCTGCTGTAAGACAGCAGACAGACCTCTGACGTCTATAGTTTCGATTTCGTGGAAAGTATGCGCACAGCATTGACACCTCGTCAACACCTTGTCGTGCGCAGACAGAGCTGGCTATTTAGGGGCTGGACGAGGGCGCGGAGCAAGTTTCCGTGCAGCGCCTCTTCCCCCCAGTCCTTTCCATATTGGCCGAGTACAAAAGAGGCTTCGGTGTGAATACATAAATAAGAATAAAGCTACGATGTGGTACTCAGAACGGTCTGCGCGTTGTCCCTGACTTTCCGGAGGAGCAAGTATGGGACGTTAGCAGCTCTTGGAACGCCACACGAGCGATCCTCCGTCGCCGTTACAGTCGCAAAATTTCACGCTCATAGTTCATAACTATGACATTTAACACCTGCAGTACTGGTGCGGCTGAGTGAAACTATGTGGGGTCGACTTGGCACGCCTCCTCTTCGTTTGTCAAAAGAAAGGTGGCACCCCCCAACCCCCTACCCATGACCAAGTAACGACATGCAGCTTATAAATGGCTTGAACTGACGTCAATGAAAGAGCCACGTAGGAGCACGAACGTGATGGGATGCCAACTTTGTGATGTCACCAGTGTTATCAATAAAGACGGAATCACACTAGTCTAGAGCGCCCAGTCTGCCTCTTCAGCTGCCGTTTTCATGATGATATGTAAGGTTTAACGTCCCAAAACCATCATATGATTATGAAAGACGCCGTAGTGGAAGGCTCCGGAAATTTCGACCACCTGGAGCTCTTTATCGTGCGCCCAAATCTGAGCACACGGGCCTACAGCACTTTCGCCTCTATCGAAAAACCTGCCGTTTTCCGGAGAAGTATGCATAGACCGACGCCGCAATGATCGTATCTAACATAGCAATACGACGTGATAAGATCTTTGTTCTGTAACTAACGCGTGAACGGAAGCTTGAGAAATAAGCAAAGAGCGATGCCGTAATGATTGTATCTAACATAGCCATTCTGCACGCCAAGTCATTGTGTTAAACTTCGAGCATGAACGGAAACTTGTATAGCTAACGTACGTGAGGTAGTACAGCAGACTTACGTCTGACGTGTATGTAGAGCGGTGGAGCACGTAAATCCACCGGTCTAGACAAGTGTGATCCCGTCTGTGCATTGAGTACTGGTTCCTTCGTGACTTGTGCGCAGAGACCCCAATAACGCTCGAGCCACGTCGTTATCGCGCTGAAGAAGGGTCATCACCACGTGATTGTACTGCCTTGACGTCATAACGTGGGAACCATGTTGTGCATTCATGAAGTCACGTGTGAGCTACCAATTCGAAAAGAAGGCCAGAAAGAGAGCGCCATATATTTATTTTATTGTACTTATACGTACGTTGCATCTCTCCCACGACATCCCCCGGTTAAGGCATCGAAATTCCAACCTGCCCACCAGGAGCGCATATGATACAGGACCCCACGAACAATTATGTCTCCACGCGTGGCTTCTTGCCTTCCCCTACAAATTTTGCTCTTTGCCAAAGGGAGCGGAAAACAAATTTTGTATCATGCGGTAGTTAGAGAGGTAACGTGACAGCCTATATGATGGCAGTCGTCACTGGTCGGTGATGATCTGCGACGCTTAATTTGTTTTAATAGCATTGGCCTCAATTCAAAATACAATTTTCCAAGAGCTTTCCAACTGGTTTCCGTAACAACTCTGCGAAGTACATGATGGCCCCCGAACCGCAGGGTGAACAGGGTTATCATTCTCTGTGTCCTCACTCCAGGACTCTCTTCCGACTGTAACCCATAATCAGCTATAACGAGTATTCAGGTGACGTTAACTAACGTACCCTTCATGTTTGTACAACTCGTAGCTTCCACTGTGGTTCCGGGGGAAAACTGGCCGAGAAATGTCTTTGCTTCTTGTTGTCCAGGCAGTACAATCGTCAGCAAGCTAATCTCGGACACTCCGCTGCATGTCCTGAAGCGGCTCGATTGGCACCATTGCCGCGTGTTCTGTTGCGAAAACCCAAAAATTTTAGGGTTCTGTTGCAAAAATGATACCAATGCACGCAGCCGTAGTATCCTGGAATAACGATTACCGAGGTACAATCTCGGTAATAGCGCCATTGCTTGGCGGCTAGCATCAGTCAAACCAGTCAAATCCACGCTGCGGAGCATTTGTGTTCGAGCTTGCGGACGACTGTACGACAAAGTGACAGCCTTCGTTACGTCTGGGCATATCCCTTAGCAGGTACTACAGTCTATCTTCCGATGGTCCAGCCGTTATCAAACGACAAACATACGCAGGAAAATATGCCGCACGAAGATATGCAGACATTTCACGAACTCATAATAAGTATATATCATGCGGAAGACGCTTTGTTATATCAGCCGTCATTTCTGTCAGAACCAGTGGTACTATTTACGCCATGACGCTGAACGCCGATAACTGCGCTCTTGCCACGGTGCAAGAATAACTCTTACACCGTGGCCCTTGCAAACAGATTAGTCTTCAGAATGCAATGGCACAGCTTCGGAAAAGCAGTATACGAATGCGTAAACTACGCGCGTGGGAGTAACCCGCAATAAGGGATTTCGGTTAAACAATGTCACTTCTGTTCTAGGAAGCACAATGCACAGCGTTGGTATAGACTTTATTCTGTGCGAAAATACGATCGTGTGTTCTTGATTATCCGAATGATTTTGGTGGAGATATAGGCTAGAAAAAGCCTTATGTACTAATCAAAATCGGGTATATACTTCAGTATCGTGTAAGGTTAGTCATTTTGTGCAATTTGTGCGATTGCTAGTATATGGATTGCGTCCTTTCCACGCAACAGAATCTACCACAATGGTGACTTTTCGTCTGGTATGTACATTTAAGTGTCAAGCACTTGCTTAGGTTAGATCAGATCAGATTGGCTTAAGTTTGGGATGCCGTATATGACAGTGGTTATTGCTGAAGTCCTTTTCGTTTCGCACGGACGAATGATAACGCACGTACTGCGATATAATTTTTATGTAAGCACGCACACAGCGCTCAATGATTGCGCTATCGAGCCAAATTGGATTGGCAGGAACGAAACGCACAAAAGAAAAAAAAAAAGAATAGACAAAGACTGATCACACATACCTTTGCAGGTGAACGAGACGGGGTCGCAGGAGAGGCCGAAATCCTTGGCGCATGGTTCGTCGAGCGAACAGGCTTCGCCGGTGTGTCGGGCGCACACTAGACCGCATGGCGGACACCGGCTCGGCGTCTTGGCCGTCCTGCCGGCCGGACACTTGGACACGTCCGCTCCGCAGGCGCACACCACGGGAAGACCCGTGGCACCGCGGACGACCGAGGCTTCGGCGGCGTCACTACCGTTAGAATCCAGCGTCGTCGAATCCAGAGTGGGCCATGCGTCGGCCGTCAGGGACAACGTCAGTACCAGGGCTGCCACGAGGAAGAAGCGACGACAGCGCGTCGGTCGTCCCGTGGTTGCGAGTTCGAATCCCACTGGCGACCCCATGACCGATCAGGCCTGAAGGGGTTGGTGGGTTACGATGGTGAAGAGGGGGCGTGTGACACTGGTTTCACGCCGTTATCCCAGGCACGATCAATAACAGAATCTTTGCACGTTCAAATCGGGATCAAGTCTGCCACGACCACTTCGCGACAAGCGCAAAACGGAATCACGCTGGAGAGACAGAGAGTTGTGCTGAAAATTCCAACGGATTTCTGCAAGGGCCCACAAAAGCAGCCGCAGGTGGTGACGGGAAGTGTGGAAGGCTGAAGAACCAGAGTGTTCGCACGTCACAACGACATCACAGACACACGCACACACACCCACCTCTGAGAAAAGTCGAGGTGACACGAACCAGTAAACAGATCGCGCGCGTGCGCGCTACGGTGTCTTGGACGGTCTTCACTCACAGAGCCGTTTCACACTTGCAAGCGACCAAGAAAGGATCATCTGATCCAACGGCGTTTGACGCCACGAAGTAATCGACTGTCCTATCTTCAAGCTACGACGACCTCCAGAGAAGTCGTGGAAGGACGGTACTCCCAGTCTAGGACCTGGGGGAGGGGGGTTCAAATCTTCGCGACGTTCCACAAGACTGGTCGGTCAGTCAGTCAGGTTGACCACCAAGTCGCGCCGCCCTCGGCGGACGGTCCTGGCAGAGCACCTCGTCGACGTCGTCCTTCTGAATCCTCTGGAGCATGCAGGTCCTCAGTTTCAGCGGTGTAAGAAGGAGACGTCGAACGCAACCACAACAGTCGTCTTTGCCAGCGTTGCACAGCTGTACGCCTAAATCTTATCCTGGTTGCGCCGAAGCCGTGAGCTTCCAGAACCACTCTCCGTAACGCAAGACAGCTATGGAAGTACAACCCGGTCTTGGGCTGCTTGCAGTCGCTCCAGCCGCTGCCGCTGCAGCCTTCTCTTCTCTCACACCGGTTCCTGACTAGTTCTCCCAGAAAGATTCCTTCGCGTCCATGTCAGAGGCCTGAGGAGGGGGAAGGAAGTTGGGGGGTGTAAGGAGGGGGGAGAGGCCGACTGCCGCAAGTCTCGCAAGGGGGTGGGCGGTTGTTAAGCAGCAGCGCGGCGGGCAAGTCAGAAGCCAGCCGAAAGGCCGGTCGGTGTGTGTGGTGTGGGGGGAGGGGGCGAATTGGGAAAGGGTGGTAGGAAGACCGGTTTCACCCTCACAACTACCAATTGCTTCTCTTCTGAACGCTTTCATTTGTTTTTACTCTTCTTCTTTCTTCCTCGACGTCTCTCCAGAGCCGACCGGCCGACGCTGCCGCGCGTCGCCGTCCTGCAAGTCAACTTTTTTTTTCGTTGTCTCTCCGTTTGTGTTTTCAGTCTCTCAACGCTCTCAACAGCACCGCATCGTCGTCTTCGTCTTCTTCGTCACACCCGCCAGCTTCTCTTCTCCCGCTTCTGTGGGAAGCAAGCGTCACGCTGGCGCCCAGTGTTTGTTTCTGCAAACTGTTCTTGCCCCTCTTCACGCTGTTCTCCTTTCTGACGGCCCTTGACAAGAAATATATGGGAGATATGGGTTTAGCCCGTGAAGTAACTGAGCCTGGTATTATTCAGACTCTATGCGCAGACTCTTACGTGCTCGATGTACGACTGCCGGCAACGTCACAGGGCTAGCTGGACCAGCGGGCTGCTGGTCCCTACGTGGGACTGAGCCATGTGCGTGACCCAGTCACGTTCGGCGGGACCAATACAGTTATTTTCTTCCTTCCTTCTATGTGCAGACTGTGTGCGTAAGCCATCCATGCGCACACCTTATTGATAAGAAATCGCCATGCCTAACATGTTCTCGTAGTTCAGCTTAAACGTTATGATCCTCAAGCACGGTCTAGAAACGTCTCCTGGGCCTGAAAACTGCCGTCAGCAGCTTGACTGGTCTCAGGAGGCGTTGTAGATAATAGCGCGATCAGAGTAAGCATCTTTGGTGCGAAACAAAAACACAAATTCTTCACACTCAGATTCACGCTTTATGACACGATATGGAACAATCAACGAGATACAACACCAGATATCGCACCTTGTAAATGTAACGTGTGCATGAATTTTTATTTTGACGGCTTTCAGGGCGGTATGGTTAGAGTTCTGTCTTTCTTTTTTTTACTAAGGTATCTTTGGGTGTATGTGCTTGCGACGCGTGAGTGATTCTTTGCTTAGTCTAGTCGCTGTTTTTTTTTTTCTTACGTAGTGTAGGGCTTTCTTATTTTTTCTTACAGCCATTGCACGTGCATCATGCCCGAGATCATTTGAGTTACAGTATATACATGTCTGTTTTAAAATTAACATAGTTTCAAGTATAGAGAGGCAGACTGAACAAGTCTGCCTTTGTCTTTTGCCTCCATTTTTTTATGTGCTACTCGTGCGAAGTTAAAGGAAAGAGTTTGAAGAGCGGGGGGGGGGGGGGGGGTGATCATAAACGAAAAGAAGAGAAAAGTGAGCCCCGTAACTGTCTCTCAGGGGTAGGACACTTCAACAGTTGCGCACGAGGGATGGGGGATACAGAATAGATTAAAAGGATAGCATTAAGTGGTAGAGAGATAGAGAGAAAGGAAGGAGAGAACGAGGCGTAGGGACAGCGCACGACGGAAGTAAGGAGAAGACAGGAAAGATGGACACGGTTGCAGGAGTCCGAGGACGGGGCACCACTGGCGAGAGCTCATGTCGGTGACAGGAGATGGCGTAGGGCTAATCTAATCGGCCAGAGCTCCGCTGTCGTCGTCGTCAAGGGCCGGCGTCAAGAGGTGGCGTAGGACCAACCCAGTCGGCCAAAGCTGGACTGTTTTCAGATATCGCAGGGGCACTACTGGTCGGCCCGAAATCCAGCGAGCGAGTGCAGTTTGAAGGGCGCTGTAGTCCCTTAGCGAAATTTTTATCTAGATTCTGAGTAACTCCCTTCCCCCCCCCCCCCCCCGTCTATCTTCGTGTCTTCTCCTAAATATTTTTTTTTTCATTCGTTTGTCGTGCTGTCTGCTTCGTCGAAACAGCGGCAGTCTGCTCCAGATTCCTTCGACGCCATCGATGTAAAGAAAAGCAAAGAAAAAAAAAGAATATACGAGAAGCTATGGCGAAAACGCTTCTGGTCCTTGCGAGCTTTTGTTTTTCGCTGCATGGAAGGTAAAAGGACAGTTCGATAAAGAAAACAAAAATTCAAGAACCCACGTGTGCGTGTGCGTGTGCGTGCGTGTGTGTGTGTGTGTGTGTGTGTGTGTGTGTGTGTGTGTGTGTGTGTGTGTGTGTGTGTGTGTGTGTGTGTGTGTGTGTGTGTGTGTGTGTGTGTGTGTGTGTGTGTGTGTGATCTAGGGTCCCACGGAAAGATAGAGGGTTTCGATGACGCATTATGCGGTGTCATAGAATGTGGAGCAAATGATGCGAAGGAGGAACTCCAGCAATTGTAACAATTTCGTTATTGAGTGCTTGCGTACGGTTCCTAAAACGTGGAGTTAACCAGTTTGGAATATGAATGCTTGATTGACGGTGTTTAAAATCTCAGGGGAAAAATTCTTAAGCACGGGGTGTCACCGCCTTTTAGACAAAGCTGTCCCACCTTCGAGTCACTTGCTGCCATGAGAAATACGAGATCACTTCCAGAAGCGTAATCGTAGGCGAGCAATTGCGACTCGTACATGGATTACTCAGTTATATGCCTCATAACAGCTGTCAAAATAAGCAATCACAGAATTTTACCACTTACCCACTGAATATGACCACTTTCTTTTCATTCTTACGACTAAAAATTACGCAAATTGGCAGATACATCATACATGACGGGCCAAACTGTATCCACTAAACGGTAATTGCAGCTATATTAAATATTCCGTTTCTTCAGCAACTGAGCCGCTGCCTCCACGCCGTCCGTATCCTAAGAGCCTTGACTTGGAGCCTTTACAGATGTCGCATTTAACAACACTAGAGCAGTGTAAATTACTCAAACAACGCCACTTCCGAGCATCAGTATTGCATACTCGCTCAGCAACTCTCAGTTGGGCGCAAGCTTGCTTTGTCGCATGGTCTCTGCGCAAAGCAGCAAAGCCACCTTATAAACAGCTTTGTAGTGCGGCAAAGCCAGCGTGCACGAACCATAAACATTGAAGGACCTCACTTTCTGATAAGAAAGAAAGAAAGAAAGAAAGAAAGAAAGAAAGAAAGAAAGAAAGAAAGAAAGAAAGAAAGAAAGAAAGAAAGAAAGAAAGAAAGAAAGAAAGAAAGGAAGAAAGAAAGAAAGAAAGACAAGCGATTATCCTTGGCAGGCTATCCAGTGTTAGTGCAGATGTCGGGTAGCTTAGTGTCCGTGTTGCATGGTTCGCGTTGCATGTCCATTGCATGGCTCGCGGACGGCCGCAGAGCAACGGTGAAAACCAGTGTCCCACCGTATGTATGTACATCCAATTTCACACTATTTGAACAAGATGGCCGTGAGAGATGTACGCGTAATGTTCTATGCTACAGAAAAACTCGTCAGAAAAAGTCGACTATGTAATCTTACGAACCCTAAGAAGGAGGTACAACCCACATGAGGAAAGAAGTATGTGGATAAGTTTGTTGAATGTTCCTTAGCTGTCGTCTTCATGTTTCTCTGTCATGTGACGCGGATCTACATGGGACAGAATAACATGTTCACCGCTCGCGCGAGCACTGTTACAAAGTAAAAACAACAACAAAATTTCTTCTGGTGGTTTTCTGTCCATGCATTGTAACACGTGTGCATGGGCTCTATTCTTTGACCAGCGTGTCATCTTGGGCCGCAGTCGTGACCCGTTGTACACGAGAAATTATCGAAGCGAACGCTATCGCAAAACTGAGCGAAGCTGTGTCGAGTACGCCATCCGTAGCCTATTTGAACAAGAGCTTGATTTATTGGGGTGTGTGCTGTGAAGTGTTGATATAGGATTGTTAACTTGATATCAGCTTAAAACTAGATTTTTTGGTGACGTGTGCTGCGCCACACGTTTAGGGTTTTGTCATGTGCGCGGCATCACGTGTGCAGCAGGGTGAGCTATTATAGTGAGCTTGTATGGTCACGCAATGAACAAAGGTTGGTAGTTAGCGCTCATACCATCGTCTGCTTTGTTTTTTTTTCTTCTTGGCACTATAACATCTTTTATGCACGATCAGACTGAGCAGCGCTAAAGCAATACCATTTTATCACACACCAACTCACCCAGTTTGCAGTACTTGCTGCAAAGCTGACTTTTTTATTCTCCTTGAAAGGGGAAGGGAGGGGGGGGGCAAATATTGGTCACATATCATAAGTTAGCATGCGCGGCAGTATATTGTAGCTTTCTTTTTTCAGTGCTGTTGCGTCATTGCCGGTATATTAGGTCGTCTGAAATAAGAGGCATGTCAGCGCCTGACGTAGCCTGAGAGAAGCTTTCCGACGGAGCTGACGTCAGAGTTGGCACGAAAGTGCTGACGTAACAGTTGACGCGCATCTCGCTAACCGTTCTTGCAGTGCAATCATATCAACATTTACCTTCAGCCGTCTGAGAAAATGCTGTGCAACAAACGTGAACAATACGTAGGTACAATAAGTATACTTCGTTTTCCGGAATCTATATCGCCTTTCGCCGTGTCAAGAAAAAAAATGTTTACATGAGGCGTGCACAATGGCGCATACGTGAAGTGCGCATACCACACGGTCATTTACATTTCGGAAGCTAGTCCCCGCAGACAAGCAGATCCCGTTCAGATAGCTTTGAACACTGTACGTAGCAGGACAAGACTTCTTGACGCCCCCTCGGAAAGTGTTCCAAAGGTAGCAAAGCAGCAACAACTCACCTTCTATATCGTGCTAGGAACTGCAAAACAACACGAACATGGAAGCCGAGGATTCAGTGAAGCCATCGGACGACGCTGACGCGACCAAAGACGATGCCGAGATGGAATGCGCTTCCGACGGGGAAGGCCCCGCTGAGACGAACCGACCTGACGGCGGAGCAACGTCTGAAGACCTCTGCGTTTCCTCGAGCACCTCGGTAGCGGCCACGACCGAGCATGAAACGGAAGATGCCGCCAAGACTTGCGAAGCAACGGCTGAGAAGGAGGGCTCCGGCGACACCTCGAAGGATAAGCTTGAAACTGATAAAAAAGACTCGGCCGAAACTTCTAAACCGAAAGACAAGACCAAATCCAAGGCGGAAGGCTCGGTGAAAACATCAACGCCGACGATCGAGGCAGAAACCGCAAGGGAAGACAGTGCCACTACTACTCAGCCTACAACCGAGACCGAAGCTGAAATGAAAGAATCCTCAGAAACATCAGATCCAACGCCAAAAATTGAAATGAACGAACCTGTCGACACTACGCAGCAGGAGGACGAGGCTGAATCTGACACGAAAAAGTCTGTGACGCCTCTGCCAAAAGCCATCGCCGGCCCTTCGCGTGACAGGCAAGTCACGGAGTCGACGCCTTCGTCGGGGACACCAGAACAGTCTAGCGACGAGAGTAGAATGGACATGCCTTCGAAGCCGCCCAAGCACAGCGGTCCGGGGGCCGCCGCTAAACGCCCCACCGCAATGGCGCTGGGCAAACGTCGCCGTCTGCAGAAACAGCACACCATGACGTCTGATGACGACGTCAGTAGTCCTTCTTCTTCGAGCCTTCCTCCATGCGTCAAGCTCCCCCGTTCTGCCTTGTCTTCCGACTCTGAAGAAGGAATGACGCCCGCGGAAAGAGCCCTGGCCGAGGCCCGCGCGCTGGAACTCGAGCGCACACTTGGCGGTGCAGACGTCGACACCACCGAGCCGCCGTCGTCCAGCGGATCGGCTTCCGTGTCTGTCGGCACGCCGGATGTCAGCTCGGACGCCAGCAGCGAACAGTTGATGGCCCTGAACCTCCTCGAAGAGGAGGTGAACGGAACAAGCACGTCGGAGACGACTAGCGAAGGAGCGGAAGCTGCTTCTAGAAGCGCCGGTGCCGCTCAACGACCGCCAGCACCCGAGCCACCAGGAAGCACAGCCTCGGCGTTGTCTTTCGCCGAAGCCACGCTCCGGTCGCCTTCGAGCGAGGACGCCTCGAAAGCGCTGATGAAGTGGCGCGCCACGCAGGACCTCACCAGCGACAGCCCCGTATCAACCAGCAGCCTGTCCTCTTTCACGGAGAGCGAAGCCGGAGGATCCGGCGGCCACTTGTCAAGATCTGCTTCCGTTCACAGCACGAGCACCTCGACAAAAATGTGCGCCTCCGGCAAAGTCCCTTTCACCAGATCGGAAACCTGCGCGGGACCCTTGACGGCGTCTACTAGTTTCGACAGGGAACGCGTGCCTATTTCGCTCACCCTGAGTGCCACTGAGATGTTGAGCCGAACTGTCACGGCAACTGAGCAGGCTTTGGTGGAGAAGATGGAAGAGGACGCACCGGCAGGGCCGTCCAAGAAGGCGGGAACTTCGAGCCTAGGAGAGTCACCGGAAGGAACTGGAGGACTGGCAGGGACCATCGGTTCGGGCGGCGGAGGCCCGCCTGCTTCGCCCTCCGGAGGCGGAGCAGGCCCCCAACCGTTACCCATGGATGAATCCGATGACGGCGAGCAAAGCGGCGACCAACCGCTACCAGCTCCCCCGGATGAACTGGTGACGTCCTTCATGGGGCCCCGGCCTACACGCACTATGACGGCCGCAGAGTGGGACGCCGCGAAGCGTGCCAATGGCAAGGCCAGAGACACTAGCAAGGAAGACGACCAGCCAGGACCCTCTAGCACATAGCGTCAAGGATGATCGCACAGCTGCGTTATGCACTTGGTCAACATGTTATGCTCCGTGTGCCCAGGACACGCCAATCTTACTAGTGTTTTTATCTGCGTTTGCTTGCTGGCGCGTGCGGAGTGTAGAAAAGGTACTCCAACACTGACGTTTTGAGGTCCTCTTGATTTTATGATGCCTCACTTTATTCTTTTTATGATCGCACTTAGCAACTCGTTTATTCTCTATATTTTTTTTTACTCTGCATGCCCTTTCAGAAACAATAAACTTGGACGACGCTTGACCTAAAGGGAGGCAGGCTGAAGGACTTTTTTCTAACGACTTCGGAGCATGTAAGGACAGATGAGGCCTGTTGATTTCTACTATAGCGATACGAGTTCTCAAGAAGGAACGCATTACATGGCAAGATAAACAGGCTATGGTCGCACGGCTTCTTGAAATGGTGAGTGAACGCGGTGACGTCATCCTCGATATACGCAGCGTTATCTGCAGCAGCGGCACTGCTGAAGCATGGCCTACTCGATCATAGAAACGGCTCGTCACGAGTTAGTCACGTGGGCCACCACTAAAGATGCAAGAAACTCTTTTTTAGGAGCTTGGTCGGCAAACTTATATGCCCGCGCTTTGTCCGGCGTAGATGTAGGCAGCCGGCGTGTACGCCAGTGTCGCCGATGTACACTTCTCCGGATCACCGCTCAAGGAGGTGATTTCAATAATGCTCACTAGATGGCGCACCGTCACCCAGGGCGAAAAACAGGGCACTGTGGAATTACAATAGGTATGATGTTGTGAGAGGAATATGGAAAGGAGTCATGGTTCCTGGTCTGACGTTCGGCAATGCAGTATTGTGCATGAGATCAGAAGTTCAAGCAAGATTAGAAATAAAGCAACGTGGAATAGGTAGGCTTGTCTTAGGAGCTCACGGGAATACACCAAATCGGGGAGTACAAGTTGATATGGGATGGACATCATTTGAGGGCAAGGAAGCTAGCAGCAAGATAAAATTTGAGAAGCGATTGAGAGAAATGGAGGGGGGGGGGGGGGGAGCGTTGGGCTAGGAAGGTATTCAGCTGCTTGTACATGAAGAATGTCGATACAAAATGGAAGAAGCGAACCAGAAAATTTACTGGTAAATACTTGGAAAACAGCAGAGGGCCAAACTAAAAAGAATTATCGGTTAAGAAGAAGGTGAAGGAAGCTAAAACCGATCTGTGGATGATTAACATGATTAAGAAGTCCGCACTAGAGATCCATCGAAATTTTAAGCAGGAAATCGCCAAGGAAAGGATCTATAATAATACTCGGGGTAGTTCTCTACTGTTTGAGGCCAGGACGGGAGTAATGCGAACCAAGACATATCGGGCGAAATACGAAGAGGTAGACATGATATTCAATGCGTGTGGAGAGGAGGAGGAAACTGCCGAACACTTGATAATGTTCTGTAAAGGGCTTCACATTATAGTTCAGGATGATGGAGCAGAGTTTTTCAAAGCACTAGGGTTCAGGGACAGGGAGGGCAAAATAGACTAAGTGGGTAGAATTAACTAGAAGGAGGTTATCTGATTGCTTACTAAAGTCGAGGCACGAGTGAAAGATTACACCCTTCACTGCAAAGTACGAGTCCTCAACCTCACTATTTAAAGAAAAAAATAAATCCAGTTTTTGGTTCACTAAATATTGCGGCTTGGTGGCGTTAGCCATCGCCTGATCTAAAGGATACAGCCATATCCATCCATCCATCCATCCATCTTAATACAAGCTATTATGCTCCGAGTAATAAGACAAACATGAAACAGAGGTTTATAACTGCAGTTCAAGGGGTCAGACTCGAAGAGGATGAGGCAATGGAACATATAAACACAATGATGACAGAATTTAGACACCGAGAAAACGCTGCATGCACCGTACCAGATGAGGATGGACTAATCAGCTCAGTGGCTCCACTGGAACAAAGAGAGTCGGACAGGGCAGAGAAAAGGGTTCCTAATAGCACATCAACAGGCCCTGACAGCATCCCAATCATGTAAATAAAGAAACTAGGACCAAACTCTAAGCAAACATTAAAAGAGGCACGAGCAAAGCAATAATGGATGGTGAAGCTCCCAATGGGTGTAAACTAAGCAGGATGAGCATGATCTATAAAGGAAAGGGGAAAAGCCGATATAAACAACTACTGTCTTATAATAGTGACATTAGTAGTTTACAGGCTGGTGATGCAGATAGTAAAGGAAAGACTGCAGACATGGGTGGAGAATGAGGTGGTGCTGGGAGAACAACAACATGGGTTCCGTAAACGAAAGAGGTTAGAGGACAATCTACTTTCATTGATACAGTGTATCGAAATAGCGAAAAAAGAACCCGGGCCCCTGTGGCTGGCATTTCTAGATATCAAGGGAGCTTACGATTGCGTGATTCAAGAAGTCTTGTAGGGAATACTGGACACACTAGATGTGGAAGACGCAATAACTAATCTTCTAAAGTATATCTATAGAAGTACCAAGGTAGTTATCAAATGAGAAGAACAGGTATCTGAACCCATAGAGATACAACGCGGGCTTCGACAGGAATGTCCCTTGTCCCCATTGTTATTTACGCTGTATCTCTTGAGACTAGAATCCAAATTAGAGGGAAGTCGACTCAGCTTCACCCCTGTATTCTATAGAACGTCCCTTCACTCAACGCTTCACCTTCACTTGAAAAAGCCAATGGGAGCACCCTCTCTAGGCACGGCAAGCCACTGCATATCAGCGATAATCCGCTGCGAATATTGAGTAGCGTAGTGTCATTCTCAGCCGAGTGGTGGCGCAATGCTCAACTCTGTCAAGTGAACGGTGGAAGCCGAGTCGAGGAGCGTTTGTGAATACAGGGGTCAGCCTCTCTTTTGACAAGCAAGGAAAACACATTGAACAGTCATAGCGGCTCTCAAAGTGCAGATCGATGAACGGCAGGAACTTTCCACCAGTGCTTTCGAAGAAACCGAAGATGACATAGCTTTTCCACGCCCACACTTCCGGCGCGCTCGCGTGGCAGGAGCAAGACAAGCTCTTCTTTCACGTCTAAGGCCCGTGCTGCAACAACATTGGAAAAATAATTACTGTAATACGACGAACTTAGAAGAGCTAGACTAGCTGCGCCATCTATGATTGTGTAATGAAAGCTCCAAAAGCTAATCAAGTGCAATTGCACTCGGTCTAAGGCAATTCAAGCCCATGAACATGTATAATGAAAAAAAAAACAGATTGTGCATTGTTAGGTCTAATGTAAATGTTTTGGGCACAGTAAGACAAGTGATTACAGAAATGCCACAACGCTTTTGCTAGAGATCGGAGAGTGTGAAACCGAGCATCGTTATCGAAACTATGCCGTCTCATCACCCGCAGTCTATCACCGAAATCAGAATACCCGAAGCGTAAGCGAGCGGCATCATTTATTGTGAAACAGCGAGTTCTCCAAAACAAGACGGTATAGGTTGTATACACCGAGGTCTTCCCGCCAGGCGGCGTCTGCGACAGCCGTGGTCTGTCAGCAATCCGGGATATGACGGCGTGATATTTAACGGCGCTCCACCTCACTTAACACTGAGCAGTGTCTTAGACACATAAGAACACGTGATGCCGATAATATTGGTTATGGTATGACGATGAGACAGAGAGAATAAAACTTTTATTAAATTTTCTGCACGAGTAGATGGCACTCGTGCACGACACGTATGGTGGCTGCCACATAAGCACCTCCTGCGGATGCCGTCGCGTGAATACCTCCTATAGACGCGAAGTGCGCAACCTATCCTTCATGGTGCATGTTTATTACAAAGCTTGTTTCTTCGTTACCATATAAATAGAAAACTCTGGAGCACAGCCGCGAAGCGTGTACTTTGGGGTGCCGAGCAGAGGATTCGCCCGCACCAGTCAGTTTGTCTACGTTACTTTCAGCTGTAATGGCGCCGTTTTTTAGAGTTGCGGTATCAAAACTTGCGCGATTGGCGAGCTTTTCATAAAGGAGCCCTGAAACACTTTGAGTAACCGTGGAATTAATTCACTGAAAAAGCGTATTGCCTCACTCATTCAATGCCGCAAAAATTTGAAGCACCCGTCCACTACGAGCGGAGTTAAAAAGATTTGTCAGGCGCTGAATTCACATTCTTCTTTTGTCCCACCAAAAGCCCTGGAAGCTAAGCAGGGAGGGATGAGAGAGGCAAAGAAAAACGTCACGCGCGCCTCGTGACCCTGAGAATTTTGTTTCCTTGTTTTAGATGCGGAGCATCTAATACTCGAGGCTTGTAGTGCGGCGCCGTCCGCAAGCTTCCTCCTCCTTCTTCCACCATCTGTGCATCCCTTCCTCCTCTACACACCGCGCGCGCTTCACTCCTCCACCATCTGTGCCCCCTTCCTCCTCCACACACCGCGTGCGCTTCTCCTCTTCACGAACATTCGCTAGCTGTATAATGTAGCGCGCATGCGCCGTCACGCTTCGAGAACATCGGCAGCTGACGCGCGCGCATGCGCCGTTGCGCTTCTCCCCCTTCTCGAACATTCGACAGCTGACAGTGCATGCGCCGTCGCGCTGTATATATACTCAAGGTCGGCGCTCGCTCGCTCAGTTGCCGCTCGTCGGTTGGTTTGTACGGCGCGTCGACGTCCGAGGTCGCAATGATCGACGTCCCTTCGACCAGCGCCGGCCAAAGTGTTGGCGGAACCGCAACCAAGTCGTCGTCCGAAGACAAGGCAGCGCGGAGAAGAGCTCGCGACGCCGAACGTAAACGTCGGCGTCGAGCGGAAGATGCTCAACTTAGAGAACGTGAAGCCGCTGAGAGACGTCAGCGTCGAGCAGCAGCACCGGATTCGGCCGCTTTGAAACGTAAGCGTCGACAAGAGGACCCGGACTTTCGAAAACGGGAAGCCGAGTGCAAGCGTCGGCGACGAGAGGCCGATCCCGATGCTGCCCGCGAGCGCAAGCGCGCCGAGGTAGCGGCGTGGCGCGCCAAGCAGTATGCCACGCCCAACGCTCGCTTCAAGCGCGACTTCCTCGACCGAAGCTTCGGCCACACCTGCAAGGTGTGTGATCGTCTTTGGTTCGATAACAACTTAACTCGGATCGGCAACATTCAGAACAACTCCAAAGCGTTGTCGGTTCTTTGCGATACGTTTGGAAACAAGTAAGTCGCAATTTAACACCCCATTTCACAACCACGTTAACCAATTTAGCCATCGACCCAAGTAAGTCGCACTTTAACACCCCGTTAACCAATTATATGCTCCGCATCCTCCTCAGTGTTCCCCCGAGGGAAGCTGCGTTTTTTAGAATACACGGCTTCTTCAGTGCGACCGCACCCGCACGCGTGGAGAAGTGACGGTCTCTCGCGGCGATCTCTGTAACAACCGAGCTCGCCATGTTCAAATCAGCCAATGGCTCATAGATGGGTAATCTATGTATGATTTTTGAGCGTCTTCCGTCATTTGACGCGGAACGAGAAAGCAATATTCAGCTGACCTTGATAATTTTTTGTCAATTCCAGGCCGCAAGCTGCACTATAACATTTGGCTCGCGTCTTCTCGGGAGCCTCTACTACCGATCGGCAGCATTTTCTGACCATGCTCAAAAAGTGTTGCAGGGCCCCTTTAGGTAACCATTTGCAATTCAAAGGTGAAATTTGCCAGGCAGCATTATCTCCAGCTACACTGCCTATAAATAGGCTGTTGGAGGTGTGAAAAATTTCGTTGCAGTTGGCCTTTAAGAGTTGTGTGCTCTTAGAACACTTCCCAGATACACCCACAGATGGCGTAACTCATAGATGACGTGAGTACCTGGGTAGAGGACGAAGTGGTAGCCCCTTGATAAAACCGGACAGGGTGGCTCGAGCATGAATAGGGCCCACTGTAGCAAGAGCGGGTGTGTCAGGGGGTGTTGCGCATAGCTTTCTCGTGCAACTTCGTACTCCGCAAATGACATAATCGTTGAAACCCCAACAAGATCACAAAAAAGACAGATGCACTAGTGTTACGTGTCTCCCTATCTCGTCCTCGAGTAGAATGTTGCACGAGAATAAACTAGCCCGGCTATCAAAACGCTAAAAGGCGCATACGTCATATAGAGACAAGTAAGAGGAGATTGGAGGATTAGTGGCAGAAAATTATGAATAAATAAAACAAAGCAACATAAAAACCAACATTAGTTCCTGCTGTCAAGGAACTAGACTGCAGTGAATATTGACCTTGTTGGCATTGCGCCCACTGCCCCTTTACAAAACGAGCGCTCATAGCATCCATCCATTCACATGTGCTGGCGATGCCATCCTGGAATTCTCATGCACTACTTCCGACTGCAGCAGCATCGTGAATTATGACCACGCAATTCAGGTGAGCATAGTCAATAATTATTGATCAGACATGTCAGACAGAGTCGTAAAAGATAGAACCAATGGCTCAAACCAGCAACTTCCAAGAACCGAACCAAAATCACCCTAATACAAATGAGTGCTGTGAAAATGGTGACCCAGTAATTATGGGAGTGATGCCAAAAAAAAAACAGCAACAAAAGGAGTTGCAACAAATTAGAATGACTAATCAGCAAAAGCAAGCATCCACAGTGAAGAAACTTGCGACTTTTTTCTTTCACAAATTATTTTTATTAGCAGCAATAACTTCGGCCACTCACAATAAAATAATATTTCTTTCCCACCTGTCGTCAAACAGGAGTCCAATTTTCACGTTGCATAAAAAATTGTGCTCCCTAAGCCATCTTGAAATGGTGTCCTTCACACAATGATTTCTAGCAGCAGTGAAGCTCTAGCAATAAATTAGTTGAGAATGCATGAAAGCTCGCAAGACTATGAACTCGTTCAACCTGCCATTTTAAAAGCCAGTAAATTAATGATTTCTTATGCATAGCACCCCCCCCCCCCCCTTATGGTAGAAAAAGCATAGAAACAGGGCAAATGATATAGTGGCTTTTTTGCAGGTGCCACATTCGCCGAAGGGCCTCATTTTCACGAGAAACCAAACTTCAGAAATTCAACCTTTCGGCTCTTTAAACAACCTCCAATATCTGAAATCACATCCTCCCGGAAACCTGACGAAGGGTGGCAAAGGCACACGAGTACTGTTGCAATAAAATAAGCGCGGACAGTGCGGCATCTATGCGCCCTGCTGTTTAGCATTTCTTCTGAAGCAGCTGTAGCCTGAATGGTAATAGTTAGAAGCCACTAAATTCACCAATGATGCCATGAAAAGCCGCTCTAGCATCATTTCATTGCCACCAAGGTTAGAGCATGATGAAAACGTGCCCTGTTGTTTATGCTTCTTTCCATTCCCCTTGTACTTGAAAAAGAAAAGGCACTATTATTTAGAGGCCTTCCCAAATTGTTTTACCTAACTTCACCATTCACATCAACTAAGGAAAAACGAATGAAGATAAAGATTTCATGTTCAATTGAAAATGAGCAAAAAAAAAAACTGTGGTTTTGCAAGCCCAAGACTTCATTATGAAGCCCATGAGCATGATACCAATGCATTTCGTGAGTAAGACAGGCAAAGGCAGTTCACACAAAACTTGCAGATATCAATACCACAAAAGTGAGCAACAGATTCATTCGTCAACATAAAAACAGTACAAACATAGTCCATACACCAAACTTCCAGCTGTACGCCTCGAAGGAACATTGGCAAAACTAGTCAGCTTTGCTGTCCGCAAACTTCCGCGCTCGTCAATCACTATGGAACATCAATGTTGCCGAGCTCACCACATTTCTTCGGCACTTTTGCGGAACGCTGCTTCAGGAAAAAAAAAAGTTCCGTTTCAAGGGTGACGGCAGTGGCGGCACGATGCGGAAGGTGAAACGAACACTGTCTTTGGTCCTCGATGCGAAGAAGCAGCCTTTTTTTTTTTTTTTCAAACCGACTTGCTGCTCGACAGAGCTCGCCAGGCCTGGTCCGACCAGTCTGGAATGTGCCGGTTGTTGGTAATAAACTGGTCCTTCGTGATACAGTGGGTGTTCACTGCGTCCGTAGAGCCGTAGATGGACGCTGCAAAAGACAACAGAAATGTTTGTGCAGCAAATATTACCTTTAAGAACGGAAGCACGACCCTTCATTTAGAGGGGGTTAGGCCTGATTTAACCCTTTGAAGGCTTCTATGTACAGTGGCAGAATTACATCCTGCAAGGACTTTGTCATATGGGAAGGGTTTCGACCGTATGTCTGAAGTTTTTTTGACGCCATAATGACTCTACCTACGTGCTCTCTGGAGGGCAGGGCAGGTGGGATTGTCAACCACCCCTCCAAGTAACCCAGAAGGGGGAGGGGGTGCCAAGTCTGCCCCGTACGTTGACTTCCTTCTTGTGGAGGCAGAAAGAACAGATTTCCCGCTTCAGTATGGCGCGCAGTCTGCAGCAATGCCTTTCGTGCTTTCGGTTTCGTCGCATGATCGCAATGGAAGCACACGAAGCTGATTTTCACTTTCACCGGCACTCCCTTGCAGGGGCGGCAAAAGTTGACCTTCACCTTTTGAGAGCTGATGGGGATAACGTGTTGAGGCTAGACAAATGTTTCAAGCAGTACCCAGACTCTAAAATATTATTGAATATTTTGCAGTTCTGAGTGATGCTGACACCAAAATACTGTTCACATTTTTTTTTAACAACTTCAACTTTAGGTATCTCGTACATACGAAAACTGCAATAGAGTAATATGCCCATCTGCAAACTTTTTTCAAAAAGAATAAATCCTCTGAGGCATGGTATCTCAAAGTTTTTCCCACGAAAACCGGGGGCTCCGCAGGCCCCTCCTCGAGGTTTCGAGGGCCACTGATAAATGTTCCCTCGCTCTGCAACTCGCCAAGTCACTTAGACGGCAAAACCGAGACGGAATCGATCTAAGAAAACTCTACTACTAATGCCCGAGAGCATACCAAAAATGTGCGATCTGCAAAATGAAAACCGCCAGCAGCTCGTAGCCAGACGGACACCAAAACTAGGCCGTGCGGTTCCTTCATTAACCTTTGTTTGTTAATAAGGCAGTGGACATACTACTGCCATTTGCAACAACATATGCCTGTGAGCAGGCATTCTCCACACTAGCCTAACTAAAAATAAACTCAGGAAGCGGCTGAACTTAGAAGCAGACATGCGTCTGGTTTTGAGTGTGATGCAGCCTCGCAACGATTTGTTGGTGCGATTAAAGAGAGTTCAGTTTCATGCCAGTGAATACTTACTTTATATACCCTTGTTTTTTAATTAATTATAATAGTAATATCTGGAGATTTTGCATCCCCCAACCACGGTATGATTATTAAACACGCCGTAGCAGAGGGCCATCTGTAGTTCTTTAACGTGCACTGACATCGCATAGTACACGGGCCTCCACCATTTGGCCTTCACCAATATGCGACCATAGCAGCCCCGATCGATCGCGCGACCTTGGAGTAGGCAGCCAAGCACCATAGCCACTGATCCACCAAGGTGGGCGTTTCTGAATTGATTGAGCGTGAATATCATGAAAATTGGCTGCATGAAAGCAAGAGGGAGGAGAGGGTTTCTGGGCGCTTAATGTGGCTTGACATGGTTCTCTGTGACCTAAATGCTTGCGAAACTCTCATCTAACGGTGAAAGAACTCTCTAGTCTCAGTAGTGAGGTTACCTCCGAGCCACGCAGTGTAGTTCTCCTTGCTAGGCGGGCTGTGGAACTTGAACGTGTTCATGTTCATCTTCCGTGAGTACGCAGGGTCTTGGACCAGGCTTTTCAGCTCGGCGGCGAGGCGGTGCTTGAACCCTGGCATCATGGAGCTCCCACCCATGACCACGATGTTCTGAGCCAGGGTCTTGCGAGCATCCATCGGAGCCTGCGATATAACCTCGAGAATTTGTACCTGCTCCGACCTTTTCTCGCAAGGAACAAGCAGTGTTTATCCAAGCCCCACATACTGTATTTACTTGATTCTAGCGCGCATTCGAATGCAAAGTGCACCCGATTTCCACAACGCAAAAAAAAAAAAAAAGTAAGACATCGATTGCAACGCACACCCATTTTTCTCGCTGGCCTGCACGATCACACCACCCGAAAAAAACGATTCCTTTCGAGAGCCTCTTTCATTTAAATATGAAGTACGGGCGAAGCTTGTGCCCATCTGACGTGTAACAGAGCATTGCCGTCACTGTAGTTTCACCGTGGACCGATGTCAGCACTGGAACTTGCTCCGCCCCCTTTTTCTCGACGGTTGTGGTGCCAGGCATGTCGAAGTAAAGAGGCGTCTGATCGGCATTCCCGATTTGCCCAAGCAGGTAGCCGTTGTTGTGCCGCAAGTTTAGGACGAACCTCTAAAAACTGTGAAGCTTTTTATCGTACTTCTCCGCAAAAATTTTTTCATATGCCCGTTCCCCCGTTCCCCTTCAGAGGAAAAGCCTTTCCTCTTCGTAAAGTTAGTTAGCCAGCACCTGCTCGCTTTAAACTGGCTTCGCATTAGACCCTTTTCTAAGGCTAATTGCATAGCCCGCACTTAGAGCAGTTCTGTCGTCACGAGTCGCTGTGCCGCTCGCTGCTCAAGCACATACTCGCCGAGCAGCTCTTTAATTTGCGGAAACCGACCCTGCTGTGGTCCACTGAAGCCTTTGCGTGAAGCTTTGCTGTCGACAATCTTCTGATTTTGTTTCCGCCGGTCCGCACGCACGTTTAGGGAACTCCGAACGACCGCGATGCGGCCCGATTTCCGTCCATTTCTGCACACGCGATGACTTTTCCTTTAAAAGCGGCATCGTGGTGCACTCGAGTTTTTGGAGTCGGCCCTTCCACGCCGTCGATGCTAATGCACTACAAGATGACGAACTCCTCAGCACACGTATAAGTGCCGCACATGGGAAACACATAGGCAGAAATGGCCGAAGCGCCATGCCGACGCACGTAGGGGGCGGCCATTTCGGAAACACCGATGGCAATAGATTGACCGTATTCATTTTTTTTCGTACTCGATTCTAACGCGCATGCGATTTATGATCTCGCTTAACCAGAAAAAAGGTGTGTGTTAGATTCGAGTAATTACGGTAGTTATTGTATCACATGGCTGTATGAATGCATTGTCTTCAATATTCCCAGCTTAGCACATTCAAATGGGCATTGAAAAGTGGAGAACTTGGAAAATACCTGGAATGAATACAGTGCCACACCACGTTGGAGGGGGGGAGGGGGGAGGTGGAACATACAATGTATACAGTCAGCATTGAAATGTTTATAGAAAACTAGATCTCAGAAAACTTCAATTTTGTGACTGCATTTGGTTGAACTGCGCAGTACACGATGTTATCATGCTAGAAAACAAGACAGAAATCTATAGTCGAGGCTGTCAAAGTAGTGGAAATATTAGGCTTTTTCTTGTTTCGTGTGGTCTCTAACGTTTTGGCAATGACTGTACATACCTCACCCACTGCTTTTCTGGGCCTTCCAGGGAAACATCCTTTTTGACAGTTTAGCACCAAGTTTCAGTTGCACATATCTCACCAATTACTAATTAGTAAGTATATTATTTACATCAACCTAAAGTAATCCATGTATACATTTCCTATAAATGGTAAGAGCATAGTTGTTACAAACAGAGCGAAAGTTGACTTTGCTAAAATGCGGAATGAAGTCAGTATTTTGTGTGCTTAAAGAGACCCCACTGTTTAATAATAAAATTATGCCACGGAGAGTCCACCTAACATCGTACATCATTTAATCAGAGAAAAAAATTTTCATTATTGCTAACAGTTAAAAATAAAGGCCCCGCTGTCTTTGAATCGCATAGATCGAGATGGCAGCTCTGGGTTCTCACGTTGACGAAGTTTTTTTCTTTAATGATGCCAGCTCGTTAAAAACACGAAAAAACACGAGTCTGATGGTGCCTACAGTGCCCAAAAGAATTTCACTCACCTTGATGATAGAGTCCAAAAGCAGCGTAGCGATGGACTTCATGTCGCCATCCAATTCGAAAAGAGCCTCAGCTGCGTATTCCCTGTGCCGAATAAAAAAAGGGGGGAGGGGGGATTGCACTGGAATCTAGGCTGACCCCGATTCGACCTCACTTGGCACCTTAATACCGTTCCACAAAGACTTCCGGGTTGGTGTCATGCCATTGCACGCATGCATGCACATCGATAGATGGATAAATCATTCAAAAAGACGGAACCACTGCCTAAACATCAAATCTGTATGTTTAATGTAACCAGAACAGTTATAATATCCATACCAAGAGTTAGGAGTTGAATATTCTAAGCAAGAAGATGCAATCTGCCCTGCTGGTGATATACCGTGGAATTTTCTAGAAGAAAACGTAAAAAAGAACTCCAGCAGAACACAAAAAAGCCGAGAAGTTTCAAATAAGCATGGATGATAGAATGCAATGTTCTCTAAAACTCGCAGCACTATTCTCAAGCAGCAAGGTCACAACTCTTACGAGCATGAAATTGTTGAAATCGAAAGTTTGACAGAAACCAGTCTGGTCAGGCACAGACATGGTGACAATTAAAACAAGAAGCTGACCACGAAAAGCAAGACATTCGGCTCCTGTACAGAGGAGCCTTGTTCTAATTGTCTTCAAGCATGCAATTGTCGAGTGGCTGTCAAGATTGAATGCAAATGCTCACCGTAAGCTCCCTGGAATGGTAATAATTTTGTCGCCGTCCAACGGATACTCGACATCCGGTGGTGGGGTAGGAGGATCCTTAACAAAGGTCAAAAAGTGTAGAGTCATGACGGCAGGTATATGTCCTTGATGCGTGCATTAAAAGAGTAGATTATCACAAGAGCGCCACTGGCTTTAAAGTGATAGCACTAACGAGCTCATTTAGCAGAAATACCAGTTCCAGTCTCGTTGGTCGTGAGCAATTTGCATCCACTTCCCATTGAACCAAACGGAATTAGCACATGCCCCACTTCAATTTTAAAAAGTATTGTGCAGGTTAGTTGGGTTAGGAGAAATAGGCTCAATTTTCTGCATAAGTGGTATAGGCTATTTGGATCCAAATTATTCGACCACATCGCTATTTGCACGTGCCTAATGCTATCGCATTCAACTCTTGAACGTGAATTTCAAGTGTCTTATGGTTTGTTTTTCCCCAATTTATAACCTTCTATTAGTCTCAGTTTGTACTATAGTAAATTCAAAGTTCATAGAGGTTTCAAAGGCAAAAAAAAAAAAAAAAACGGTAGACTCTTAAACCCCCATCAAGGCTCTTTTGTAAGTACACAAAGCCAGAGAGAGAGAGAGAGAGAGAGAAATAAAAAAAGAAAGAAACAGAATGGTAAACCTACAAGAATTGGTTTGCTATCCTGCACAGGGGTGGGGAAATAAGGATCGGAAAGAAGATAGTGATAGAGATATAAAATAAATTAGAAAAATAAATCGCATGCACACACATGCAGGGCATTCTAATCACAGTCGTTCGGAGAGGGCAGTTGAATGCAAGTAGAGCGGGAGCGCCTTCACAGCATTCTTCTGTGACATTAGGTCCTGTCGGTAGTGCAGGATTCTTTCTTTCCAAAGAGTCTGGTTGTCCAGTTCGTCTAGTGCATTGCAGAGTGGATGTACCAATGTTTTCAAAGCAACATGTATAGCCTTGTAGCACTAGAAATATAGAAACCATATTACAAAATGCTGAGCGTACTCTTGAAATTCCTAACGTGTGAAAAAGTGCAAACGTTCACCCTTTCTGGGTCTTCGCCGCACATGTACAGCAGCACCTAACGTGGCCCAAAAGGTTTTCGCTGTACATTTATTGCACCGTCTCCGTGTTCAAAACGCGCACCGTCTCCGCGTTCAAAACGCGCACCTTTTTCGACCATTTCTCTTGCTTGGCATGTGCCACCTGGTTTCGGGAAACAAGTGAATTTTTTTTTTTTTTTTCATACGCCGATGTCTCTGCACTTTTGTGCTTTTCACGCTAGGCAAGATGACATGCCGGAAGTTGTGCATTCGAGTGCACCCACAGTGCAACTGGTTTAAGATGTGCCTGCTCAATCATTTTTCTTGATTAGAATGTGCTGCCAGGCTTCAGGAAGATGTGCAACATTCCTGGCTTCAATATTTTGTAGCGTTAGCTACACTTGCGTCGCTGAGCCAATTTCGCGTGGCACTGATCTGCGCATGCGCAATGACACTCCGCCGCCGCCGCGTGCGGCTCGCCGCCGGTGTGCGCGCCATTCGATGCGCTGCGCAGACGATCAGTGGTGTCATGCACCAGAGCCGGCACCTCCCTCGCAATCGACCGCGCAACTCGCCGCCGCCGGTGTGCGCTTTCCAGAGGAGTGCCGTCATAGCCTTGGTAGACATATGGACGCCGAAGCACGCGCCTTTCCTGTGCAGTCGCCATCTGACACTGCGCTGGAGCCGCTTGATAGCGCCTCTGACTGGTGTTTGCCACTGTGGTATAGCCATGGAGAAGCAGAGTGCAAATGCTGCTCAACGGTGCAGTAGAGTGGAGAAGCTTAACTCATCGGATCTCGAAGTAGTTGCCCGGCAAAATAAATATACATGTGCCACATAACACGTATACCGTGTGTGTGTCATTGGAACAGCTGTAAGCATGATATCTGGAAAGCTAAGAATAATCAGCTGAACGTTTGCTAATGCTACATATATCGTGGCATAGCTGAGCTTAGCCACTGCCATTTTTTCTTTTTTGTTTTTCCTTTCCAAAGCAGCGCGCAAAGTTACGCGCACGTGTGGTGCAAGTGGTTTCAATTTGGTTTTTCGGGTCGTTATCACTTCTCGCACCCGCACAGCTGATCGCTGTCTGCTTTCCAGTCTCTTGAATGCACCTGCAGTTACCCGGTCAATGTCTCGAGGTACTCCTTTACTTTCTGCAGCGCAACTCAAACCGTTTGATTTCACCAAGAGAGCAACCCAGCAATCGTACAAGAATTGTGCTTACCGGAATAACCTCAGCATTGTTGCTCCTCGCGAATCCCCAAACTTGCAGCTGCTGCGCCCTCTCGTAAGTGGTCACAAAGCAAGTGCGAACTGTCGAGCATGAACAAAGAAGTAACTGATATTAGTTTTTTTTCCACAGCCACACCGTGACACTTCGACTGTATATAAATACACTGTTGATACTTGCCCCTCAGTAGGCCTACATCGTAATTACGGGTGATTCTACCTACGATACCCCTGCATATTGACGAGCAGCAAGACCAGTTTTTTTTTTTCTTTTTTTCCCTTCATTAGTTTTTATTCACGGAACGACTGCTCACTTGTTCTTATTTTTGTTGATGTTAAAAAAGTACAGAAGTGAAACAATGGATTGTTTTGACTGGTAAATTGCACTGCGAAAATTCTAATGCCACTAATTATGCCATCATCGTTTTTCTACAACATAAGCTCGACCAAATTTTCCGACGCTTAGTGTATTCAGCCTATGGCACTCTCCGAGGCCAATGTACTTAATCTTTACTAATTAAGAAAACTAAGTAGGACCATACAGACGCCGTGAAAATCTGCGACGATGCAGTGCTTGGTGCGAGAATTTCAAGCTGCCAATGCCACCCGCATTTTCTTTTTGCGTATTATCTCCCTTGCGAAGAGCCTTCTCGAAGCCAGCCTGATGAATTTGGTAGGTGAATGAGTTTTTTTACTATTGCGAGAGAAACTGTTTTTCTGTTTAGTGTCCCTTAGACGATTTTCAGGAATTCTGGATACCCCGCTCACCCACCCCCCCCCTTGTGTAATACCCCAAACAGGGCCTTTCATCGCATTTATCCCAATAAACTGTCCCGAACAGAAGCAGTGGGCAACGTAACGGAAAGGAATACGCACATCTTTAACAGACAAGACAGCAGAGTCGCCTAGAGAACAATGAGGGGTAACCGACGTTGTAAATGAGACTTAAAAAAAAAATTAGACTTTGGTTGATCACGTAATGCATAGGACAGACAACGAATGGTCTCTTTGAGTGCAGGAGTGAATATCAAGAGATGGAAAAAGCAGCTCAAGGTAGCTCCGGATGAGGCGAAATTTGAGAAAGTTGCAAGCATAACATTAAATCAGCTAGCACAAGACGGTAAACTGGTACGTTGGTAGAAGCCTTCGTACTGCAGTGGGCATAAGAACAGCCTGACGATGATGGTAACCAGAAACACGACAAATTCTGCCTTCCTACCTTTGATGTCTTCCAAGACAGATTCCCTGATGGAATCTGTAAAAAATGAAACAAGAAAGAAATGTTAATTGCAAGGTGTTAAAGGAAGTAACAGTCAGGAGATATGCTCTAGCTAAACCTCTCAGGGGGGCAAAAATAATCCTAATTCACATATGCAGCATCAATCCGTACACTGTAGTATTAGTCCACAATTAACATTAGCATGTCAAGTAAAGCAATGCTCCCTTATGAACCGCCAACAAAAGCGGACAAAAATGACCCTTTCCTGTAACAATACCTGGAAGCAACTTCATGTCATGGGTCACTAGGTAATGCGTTCATGGTTGCATTATGCGTTATGGACAAGTCCACATTTTGAAGCGCCTACGCAGTATCACGGCCCAAGTTCAGGATTGAAACTAAAGTAAATCTGAGAGTTTTCTAGCAGATATTGTTATACAAGTACAGGCCATTTTGAGAAGCAAATATAACTGCTGTTCGAGTACAAAAACAAGAATGTCCTCAGTTCCACCCTGTGTGAATTCTGCAGAAACAGCGGAGCTGCAGTACTGCTATGTTTCCCTAACAATTCTAGGTCTTCTTTTGCGCTTTAGAGCGAGTGTCTCTGATTACGCTATTGGTAGGGTACAGACACAGAGGGAGCGACATGGTGACATTTATTGCACCCTTACCCTTGCCATCAGCCCCCCCCCCCCCCCCTTACAACACCATGTCACAATCACCACAAGGTCTTTGCTTTGCGTCCACCACTCACAAACTACACATTTCAGTGCACATTTCAGTGCACATTTCTCCATTTTTAGTGCGCAGCTACCACTTAGTACGCGAGTGAGGCAGTAACGACATCTATGGGTGTATCTAGGAACAGGAGCGCGACTACCCTTGACATTTGTCTGTCGTCCAGCCCCACCCCAGAACAGCCACACCATGAAAATCAATCACCCTCACATAAAAAAATGGAATCATGCTTACCAGTAAGCACCTCTGAAAGCGGAAACTCGCCATCAGACGAACCTCGTACCGTCGCCAGCTCCATGAGCTCGGACTCTATCCGCCTGGAAGTGTGGAGATGACAAGGAAACGAAAACAGCAGACACAAATAACAATAAAAACTTCTCGGGCTGACAGTTCGTATTGAGCGATATACAACTGCATTCAACTAAAAAAGGCACAGAAAGAGACAAAGAAAAAAAGAGGGAGCAGCTCAACTAAAAGACTGAGAGGTGTCATAAACTCTTGCAACACTTGAACTCTCTCAAGGTTCAATGTTAAAGGCGCCCTACAACACCTATTCAAGCAACCGTCGAATGGCTTGGATAACGAAGTTTACTGCCTCGTGATTCCACTGCTGAAAACGTCTTAATATCTGTCAAGTACAAGCAGAGTAACGGAATTCCGTGGCAGCCGCTGTAACTACGCAATTCACGTACTCAAATAAGCCAATGGCCGTGGACTTTGTGTTTATGGCACGGTCATTTGGGTATACGGCATCATTTGTAGAGTGAAGCGGGAGCGATCTTTAGCCAACTTCGAAAATTGGCTGTGAATTCCAGGCCGCGCTCTGTTCTATCATGTTTCGCTCACATGTTCTCAGGAGCCTCGGCTACCAATTGGTAGCACTTAGTGCCCATGCCAAAAAAACGTTGCAGGGCCCCACTTCAAGATTCCCGTTTTCAGATCATCTATACAGTAAGACCTTGCCAAAAGAAACTTGCATCGAACAGAAAAGTACATGTTAAAATTCATTAAACTTGTACATTTGGACTATTTTCGGTATTAAATAATGACATGACTATTTTCATTTACTTAGTTATAACTGATCATTAGTTATACTGCATGAAATTCCTAATATCGCAACATGATGGTAGGTAGTGCTTCACGAGCCCTGTGATTCATCGCACTAGTGCATAGCAGATAATGCAGCTGGTTTGTCTTAGGATTCCAGAACTTCTATGCATTTCCATCACTGCAAGCACAGTTAATGCAAAGCGTCTTCAAACGTCTGGCTTGAAAAGCACCGTCCTTTTCTGGCAAAAATGTTGTGAATGTAGACTGCGAGACATCTCGCACATTGTGCAGCTGGTCGTTCAGGAGAATGCTACGCTGAAAACACACGAGGACAGGAATCGACGGTCACAGTACAACAAACAGTAAACAACAAACTTCCCCCGTGTTTCTCCGCTTTCTTCTGCGAGAAATAAACTTTGTGTTCACGCATTTGCACTTTGCAAGGCTAGATCGAAATATATACAGCACAAAGAATTAGGCATATACCTGTGAATCGCCAGTCCTCCAAGTGGAATCGCCTGCCAGGCACTGAGAATACAGACTCCTTCATAGACGTGAAAATCATGTTAGTTAAGGAACTGTGCCCATGTGAACAATTCTTTTCCTGCCTTTTTGTCTAATGTGCAGAAGTTGAAGATAATTGTTGTGTTCCAAGCACCCCTGTGTCACGAGCGAGCCTCCGAACCCGCGAAGAACCGGATGCTGAAACTGCTTCCAGATGTTGACACCTCCCCTTCCCCCGCTCGGCGCAAACGAGCCACCGTCGTTTCCCCCTGGCAGTTCGGCCGCCGCCTCCATCCGAATAGGAATAAACTTGTTTTTAACCGTTCGAGGCTGTCTGAGCTTTTTGGACTACCACGACCTACGCGTACGTCTATAGGCCGACGACAACACCGGACATAACAGTGGCGACGAGGAAGTGGATTTGGACCAACGCTACGCAACGATATTGACAAGCTACAAGCTATGGCTACGCACGGGCTCCCAAATCGGCTACCCGAATGCAACGACTCATCATGGTCATCGTGGTTTGGACGCCTGCAGTTTTACTTCGAGGCTAACAACATCACTGATGAAGCAATGAAGAGGGCCAACCTGCTAACGCTGTGTGGGGAGCAGACATATGACACAGTCTGTGCCCTGATTCAGCCACGCACTCCAGCAGTCGTTGACTACGACATCGTAGCAGCGCTACAAGAGCACTATGACCCAAAGCCATCGGAGGTCTACTGTCGAGCCCGCTTCCAACGGCGAGACCAACTGGAAGGCGAAAAAGTGGTCGAATACGTAGCGGCTCTCAAAAAGCTCGCTGCTGACTGCAATTTCGGGACGTTGACCGCGACAACTGCAGCTACTGCGCAGGAGGGAGGATCGACTGCCACAGCTGCTAACACCACTATGCTCCCCTTGGACGTTATGTTGCGTGACCGCTTTGTGTGCGGACTGCGTGACGCAGGCCTACAACAACGCCTGTTCGCGGAGACGGGTCTCACCTTCTCCAAAGCCTACGACATCGCCCAACGAGCGGAGAGCGCCGGTCACCAGCAGAGGGATATTCGACGGAACGTCGAGCCGGTGCATCACACCAGTCAGCAGTCAGGTCATTCCACGTCTAAGGCGAAATAAAGCAGAAAGACACAGCGCTGTTGGCGATGCGACGACATGCACGATCCCCAGGTATGTCGATACAAGACAGCGACCTGCAATTTTTGCCAAAAACTGGGACACATTGAAAAGGCATGCATCTCGAAGCGCAAACAGCTCGGACCAAAGACTTCAGTGCAACGGAACAACAATGTTGACGCACAGGAGGGCCAGACACAAGATACAAGCCGAACAGCACTAACGTCATCGGCACTATATGACTTAAACGGCGTTGTGAACCTCGGAACGAGACCGAAGATTACAACTTACAACTGAAATTATGGTACACCAGCGCCCTATCAGGTTTGAGGTGGATTCCGGAGCAGCATGTACGCTCATCAGCGAGGACACTTTTCGCGCTACTTGGCGTGAGAACGCGCCAGCTCTCCAGCAAGACGACACGCAGCTGAGAACGTGGTCCGGACATTCCCTTCCACTGCTGGGCTGTGCCAACGTAGACGTGTACAACAACGGGCAGACCCATCAGCTCCCCTTGCTAGTCGTCCACGGTTCTGGATCAAGCCTTTTAGGACGAAATTGGTTCACCCCCCTTGGAGTGGTCATTGGCGGAGTTCACCACACATCCAGTTATCCGTCAGTGGAGCAGCTTCAAGATAAGTACAAAGTGGTTTTCTCCGAAGAAATACCAGGGAACGGACCTCCAGTCACACTGGAGCTGCGGGAGGATGCGACGCCGAAATTTTTGAAAGCTAGGTCGGTGCCTTTCCCCCTACGAACGTCAGTCGAGAATGAGCTTGACCGACTGCAGGAACAAGGCATCATCGAACCGACGCAACATTCGGAATGGGCTACACCACTCGTTGTCGTCCAAAAGAAGAACGGTACCCTACGCCTCTGCGGAGACTACCGGAGCACTGTCAACCTGGCGACAAAAGCATCTTCCTACTCACTGCCGACACCGGAAGAGGTTTTTAGCACGCTTTGTGGTGGAAAAATATTCAGCACCTTAGACTTGACACAAGCCTACCAGCAGCTGAAGGTGAGAGAATCAACATCTGAACTGCTCACGATAAACACTATTAAGGGTCTTTACAAAGTTAAAATACCATTCGGAATATCAGCAGCGCCGGCAATCTTCCAGAAATTTATGGAGTCTACACTTAGCGGGATCCCAGGTGTTTGCGTCTACTTGGACGATGTTATTGTCGGTAGCGCCTCCAATGAAGAGCACACAGAACGCTTGGAGCTCATTTCGGAAAGGCTAGCAAAGGCTAATTTGCGCATCAGTAAAGAAAAATGTGTTTTTGTGGTGCCTGAAGGGAAGTTTCTTGGACATCAAATTAACGCTCAGGGTATCCATCCCACTGAATACAAAGTGCGTGCAATCACCGAAGCACGAGCGCCTACTAACAAGCAAGAACTGCAGTCGTTTTTGGGGCTATTGACGTTCTACGACCAGTCCTTAAAACATTGAGCTACAATGGCCAACGATCTATATCAGCTCCTGCAGAAAGAAGTCCCATAGACTTGGTCGCCACGCCACCAAGAGTCATTTGTTGCCCTCAAGCAACTACTTCGCAAGTCTACTGTTCTGCGAAACTACGAAGAAAGGAGACCCCTACTGCTAGCCTGTGACGCATCACCATACGGAGTGGGAGCAGTCCTCTCCCAAGTTGACGACCAGGGACGGGAAGCCCCGATCGCTTTTGCTTCGCGCACCCTATCGCAGGCAGAGAGGAATTATTCCTAGCTAGATAAAGAGGGACTTGCCATTGTCTACGCAGCAGATCACTTTCGGCAGTACATTACCGGCAGGAAAGTGACTTTCATAGCAGATCACCGGCCCTTATTGGGTATTATGGGTTCCCAGAAGCCAATGCCACAGACATTGTCGCCGCGAGTGACACGATGGTGCATCAAGATGTTGGCGTACGATTACGAACTCGTACATCACACTGGGAACACCAGAACGCCGACGCACTAAGCCGCCTGCCGCTAGACACCACAATAGATGAACCACCCCCGCCGGGTGATATACTCATGTTCGAGGCGCTGCCGAACCCTCCGCTAACAGCTGACACGGTAGCAGCATCAACGCAGAAGTGCACTGTCTTGAAGGAAGTCTACGCAGCTATACAAGAAGGCAACGTGCAGAAGCTAAAGGGTGAACACTTCAACGCTTACCGCAAGCGAGCTGCGGAGTTGAGCACTGATCGCGGTTGCGTCACCTTGGGATCAAGAGTTGTAATTCCAGCGGCACTTCACGAACAGGCCATGTCGCTTGTCCACGCAGGTCATCGAGGAATTGTTGCCATGAAAAAGTACGCCAGAAGTTATATGTGGTGGCCTGGTATCGACCATGATATAGAATTAACAGTTCACGATTGCCAGCCTTGCCAATGCAACCACAGAAGCCCGCCAAGAGCCCCTATTCCTGAATGGGAAAGACCAGACACGCCTTGGCACACCCTGCACATTGATTTTGCTGGACCTATCGAAAAGTGTTCGTTCCTGGTGGTTGTAGACGCATACACCAAGTGGCTGGAGGTAAAACAAATGGCTACAACGACATCGGCAGCAGTTATCGACACTCTGCGGTCGTTGTTTGCAACGTTTGGCCTACCGCGCAGGGTGGTCTCGGACAACGGCACTCCGTTTGTGTCTACGGAGATTCTCAAGTTTTACAGCGACAACGGCGTCTCGTCTGTTACATCAGCTCCTTACCACCCGGCTACGAACGGACAAGCCGAGCGCTACGTGGCTGAGCTAAAGCGCGCCCTTACTAAAGACCAGACTGGGACAATGCAACGCCGCATCGCGCGCTTTCTCTTCAGACAGCACAACACTGTTCAAAGCACTACTGATCAAACGCCAGCGAAAGTGATGTTCGAACAAGAAATGAGAACCCAGCTGACAGCAATTGTCCTGGAGCCCTCAGCGAAAGCACCGTCGGAGGAAGAAAAGCTCCCGCATAGCAGGAGAATTGAAAGTGGACAGCGCATATACGCCCGCCAGTTCCACAGAAAGCCCGGCTGGGTTGAAGCGACGGCACTCAAACGCATAGGTTTGCGCTCATGGCTCGTCGACATTGGTGGAAAGGCCACACGCCGCCACCTTAATCAGCTACGTCGTTCAGGTAATTTGCCAAGGGAACCTCCCATTCAAGCAGCCACCTCGACGGAAGCTTCGTTCAACTTAGCCTGGCATCTCGCACCAGGTGAATCGGCGCCGGCGCCCGCCGGCCCTGAACACAAGAGAAACGACACCCAGCGAGCGGAGGCTTCTCTTCCTAGTGCGCCCAGAGCGTCCACGCGCCCACGGCGGCCCCCAGATCGCTTTCAAGAGACAATCTAAGGAGGGAGGAGATGTTGTGTTCCAAGCACCTCTGTGTCACGAGCGAGCCTCCGAACCCGCGAAGGACCGGATGCTGAAACTGCTTCCAGATGTTGACTCCTCCCCTTCCCCCGCTCGGCGCAAACGAGCCACCGTCGTTTCCCCCGGCAGTTCGGCCGCCGCCTCCATCCGAATAGGAATAAACTTGTTTTTAACCGTTCGAGGCTGTCTGAGCCTTTTGGACTACCGCGACCTACGCGTACATCTATAGGCCGACGACAACACCGGACATAACAATAATGTAGCAAGTGACCGAAATATCAGACAATGAATGCTACCACCTAGATTATTGCAAATCTAACTGGAAGCATTTCACATTTCAAGATGAATTAGAGAACTCCCCTCGCATTATAATCAGGCATGCCACTAGGACAGCATTTCTGACATTGGCAATACTCCATTTTTCGGGTCTACCAACATCTTCGCTGTCACTACAAAGGATGACGGAACAAGTTCCCACGTAAGTGTAAGCTGGCAACAATACTGCAACACTGCTTTAATTATAAAATCTCCCGAAACAAATGCACCACAAGCAGTCTAGATGCATGATGTATCGTTAATACACACCACATGACAAATAGGTGCTACGGGCTTCAGGAGTAAACCTCGGCGCAACAGAAAGTCACGGCAATGGACTTGATGCAGTCATGAAACCAACGTATTCCATCCTGTGAAGGTCAGCACGACTAATTTTATCACGGCTGATCGCGCTCGAAAACGTGGCGTAGCTTTCTTGTCATAGAAATATCTCACACGAATGGCATATAAATACAAATGAACAAAGTTAGAGCAAATTGTTTTTACATGCGTTGTACGACTATGCCAGGTAGTCCATCGACACAAACTCCATCTCTCGTAACAGGCCGTAAGTCATCCGCACACAAACAAGCCAGCAAATGTCACAAAGTTAAAAGGATATTGGCAGCGAGATGGACTCGTAGTATCCACAGTCGAGAACAAGTGCAGAGTTGATCCCAAGGGTGTACAAGGCCATCAGATGCGACGGAACAAACACTACGGCAGGAACCTGCAGAGTGACAAGAGTTATGAACAGAAAGCACACGCAATATGGACAACAGCTAATGCCACCTTGAATAATTGTCTCTTGTGTACTTCCTTCTCTTTTTTTTTTTTTTTCAGTTCTGTCGTCTTTCTGACTATATTACGTGCACTGATTTGCCAGTGGCATGGGGCATTAATAGAGCTGCTCTTTTCACTGCTCGCATTCGTCACAATAAAGTACAACACTGTATGTGTGGAATTAAATATTTACCACTCGCATACCTTTCTGCTGAAATATGCATGTAGAGTAAAAACTTGTTAAATGAAGCCTGAAGAAATCAGGAATATATGTTCCATTGAGCAGGAGTTTCGTTTACTCAGATATGAACTTGAGTGCAGCACCCATGGATGAATCTAATCATATTAGGGACAGTGGCTTCACTTAAGCAGCTCTTCCATTTAAGAGGTTTTCCCTTTACCGAGAATGTACAGTGATATAGGACATGTCTTAAAGTGAAAGTTATCAAGAGCAAAACATCTTTAGCAGTACACACAAGCACACACACATACAAGTTTAAAGTCGGCTTATTCAAGACTTACCTCGAAGTGCTCAAAGAGCACCTGTGCGACTGAGTTGCGAAACAGCGTCGGACACAGCACAGATTCAACGACGACCACTCGTCGGTCCTTAGGGTTGACGGAGAGATGCCTGAGACATGTAAAAAATAAAAAAGTCGATAGAAGTCCGAATATTATTTGTATGTGCTAACCGGTGGTTAAATAAACAACCTACCACATTTGGGCAGGGGGGGAACTAGACATGATTATCAGAGAGATTCTAGCACAAATTAATTAAATCTATTCAACAGGTCCAGGAAATTAGCCTGATAAATGAATTGAAGACCATGTTTTCCTTTTAAAGTAAATTTCACCTTATGCCAAATACAGGAGAATCAAAGTGACAAGTGGTGTCACTTGGAGTTGTAGCCAAGATGCTAAAATAACAATGAAACAGAAGAAGTTGGAAAGTATAATAATAATTGCATGAATTATGATGAACTATAGCATACATATGTACACAGAGCAAACACATGATGCGTGTGCATTGTCACCTCTGCAGAAAACCCCAAAATAGATTGAGCAATGTGAAGTTTTGTGCCATTACAATCAATGAAAGATAAGAGGCCAAGTTTACATGGCAAAGCTGTATGGTTTTCCAAAGAAAGAAAGCTTTACAGCCAAAGAACAAAATCATCCGGATTTTGTTTTGGCACTAATTTATTTCACAAGCAAATTGCCTGCCCCCAGATCTAACCACACAAGTATTTACTATAATTAACAAGAAAACATTTGTTAGAGAACATGCACAGTGGTACCACACAGTTCCAAACAGGTAACGCTGATTATCACAATTTGAAATGTGTGATGAAACTTAAAACACAATTGAGTAACCTTACTGTAGCTAACTAGCAATAAACTAACAGCAAAAAAAAGGTAAGACAGTGCAACCATTTTTTCGAAAAAGTTGGAAGAGTCCCTCAAAATACTACAGAAAGTGAAATAAAATCTACATGAAAGAGGATTAAGGAGGTACATGTCACTAACTGCAGGTAAACCCATGTTTGCATATAAACGCAAGTAGTTGCTTTACGCAAATGCTGGTTTTCCCATCAGTCAAAAAGCTTACACGCCCAGCACTTTTAGGTGATACAAAAACTGAATGCACAGATAATGCCTACGCCTAAAGATCATCGCAAAACATGTGTGCATAATAGAGAGAGATAGAACAGGCAGATAAAAAGGCATATCTGTCGGCGCACTCCCTTCTTGCTTCTTGCAATAAACAACTTCCTCATTTGAGCGAAAGCACGTAGCACAGTCTTCATGCAATTAGCTGCCAACGCGTATAATGGCAGATCACAGTTGACTTGTTTTAACTTGGCTGCAGCTTACTTACTGCCTGTTCTTTGTATCTCTAGTCTCTTTTTTTCTCTGTTTGTGAAGTAAACGTCTGGATACGTGTCTGCAACACTTTTCTCGTGTTGCATCTCAGTAACTGCGCAATTTATGAATGTGGGTAATAGACCCCCAGAAACAGTCGCAACTAATTAACTTTTGCAGGAAAAGATGTGCAGACACCAAACCACCACTTTGCAGCCTGCAATCAGTTGAACTAGGCATAGAGACTGGAAATGATTTAAGAGTAAACATGATATACAGTGTAATCTCACTACAACTGATTGTCTGCAATACAGATTCAGATATAACACACCCCCCCCCCCCCCCCAAAAAAAAGTTCTACAACTCTTTTTGTGTGAGTTCTGACTTGCAATATATGTATATGACTGTCTTTAATGAGACACATTGACTTTTGTTTAAGATGATTAAGGTTTTGTTAGAGAAACGTAGGACCCAAAAGTAACTTATCACCTTAAAGTAAGCCACTGACATCACAAGTAAGGGTTCATTGAAAAGTAGTAACACATTCACTTTTTTTTTGTAGGGCGTATACCAGCATGTCGATTTACTCATCTGTTCTGATGATCGAGCTTTTTCACGCAAGGGATTTCATTAAAACAAACATTTAGATATAACTGACTCAATTATAAGCCAAATGAGGTGCTCCGTACAACTATGCCATAGACTTCCACGGGGTGGGCATTCCAAGTTGACCAATAGTTTCCAACTGCAAGCTCTGCTCAGCTCAAGCACACGAGTGCTTTCGTACACAGTGTCCGCGGCAGGTCACAGGATAGATGAGGGAGGCAACGCAGAGCCTGTAGCCGCTCAAGAGTTGACGACTGCTCAAGCCTTGGTCTAGGTGCAAAACCTAAAGAGCTGCTGCGAACTAATGTGTGCGAAATCACAAGCAGATCAAATCTCGCTATGATGGAGGCCCCCATAGCTGTAAATCACAGTGTACAATCGACACTGACAAGCTTCTTTGAATATCAATAATTCCGTTACATACTTAAGCCTGCATGTGGCTTACATTTCATTCATTCATTTTATTATACCCTCAGGGCCAGAGGCATTACAGAGGAGAAGTGGTAATAACACTTTGACAAAAAAAAAACAAGATAACACAAAATAAGTAAAACAAAAGGCGTATGAAACAAGGGAGCAAAATGTGAACCTACAGTCAGTTTAGAAAAATGCCTGGGTATACAATGTTAGCTACGGAATCACAGGAACCCTTCATGACAAATAATGCTCACACCGTCTGTGGGAAGGCCATTCCAATCACGAGAGGTTCATGGTAGAAATGAATGACAATAGTGCGCAGTATTACATGAAGTGATTCCTACTTTATGGTGACGGTCTGTGCAATGGGATGCACAAGATGTCTCAGGGATGCGGCGATAGCGTAGTGCAGGGTGGGGATTTCATTACAGGCACGACAGACCCATTTACTGCTTGCACTATTCAGGTTTGTTGTAACAGTGTAACATCCGTATTCTTGTGTGCCAGTGAATATGAGATAATAAACAAATGGTGTTAGCTTGCACAAATCCCACCCTTGCCGACTGTTCCTCTATGATTTATTGCACATGCGTACATTCCTTTCTACTGCTATAAAATGCAAAGCGTGCGACTTTAATGAAAATAGTTAAAGACAGCGCTTGTTTTGTCTTGTTCTTCTCTGTCCTATACTCGCTAAATGTAGCAAAATAATATTTTAGACAAGATTGTAACAGTGTTTGAATTCAACGTATTACCTTTATGACAGACAAGACCTCCTCCTACACTAAAGATGCCTACTGTAATGAGTGCATACTGCAATGCTGATGGCTCTCATAAGCCATTCCTCTTTCTTTTACCATCCTTTAATGACACAGCAAATTAACTTGAGCTTGATTGACTTAGTCCGGTGTGCATGGTTTACCTCAACACGCACCTTCCTCAGTTTCTTTCACAACCACTCCACGAACGCTTTCAGCAGGGTCGTGCGGCTTCAGTCATTTAATGGAACACACACATTTGCTGTCTTCACGCTGACATGTGAAGGCAGCGTTCACACCTATTGTTTTATAAGGGCATGTGATTTCTGTGTTGTGCCGTTTTTCCTGAACTTCCATTGAAATGCATCCATAGCAGCCCTCCTTCCTTCGTGACACATGGCCTTCTGGTATATATTCATAATCCCTTTCCCTGCTTTGGCTTGAAATCACTTTATCTCGGTACCATTCTCTTTTCATAAGAATTTGTATTCGCAGCGACCAACCTGAAATACAAGGTGTACAGGAACTCCTTGAGCATGGCAATGAGGTCGTCCTGAGCCCAGTAGTTCCAGATGGGTTGCATCTGCGAAAAAAAAAAATAGAAAAACAAGGCTTTTACACAACAGATTTTCTGTCAAAAGCCTTCGCTAGCACACATTACAGCTGAATGATGGCTTGCCTCGAAACAGACAATGCCACAGTAAAATACGGTATTCAAGTCAAGTGGCATATACTTGCCCTCATCCATCTATAAACTAAGCGTGCCTGCCTTTCAGTCATCTGCGAGTTCCAGCTAGGCAGTCCCATTCAATGAAGCAAGTCAGTAGACTTTTCAATGGTATTGGGACACTACAGCACATGACATACACTGATGCTCCAATAATGTAATCAGACACTGAGCGTAGGTAAACCTGCACTTGTAAAGCATGACAACAATGTTGTTCCTCATTGTACAAGCTTTGTATATCATTGCTTGTAATCACAGCTATAAGTATATAACTGTATACTATTGTTACTCTTGTTGCTGTCAGACTCCTTGATGTTGTCTACAGATATCATCGCCGCCTATAGCATTGACAGTCAGTGTGCTAACCTGTTTCGCACTAACTCGTTTGGCTGTTTTGGAAAATGCTGCATTTGTGTTTTGACATGTCCTTTGTTATTTCTTATTCCTTTGTGATGTCCTCTGATGAATTGATTATGACGATGATCCGGCTGTGCAAGCAGTTCTTGAAAGGGCGTGCACAAAAGTGTCAGCAACACAAGATGAACTCTGACAGCGCTTACGTTTCAAAGGAAGTGCCTTAAGATCTGTGCAATGAATATTGCCTCTAGGTTCTTCGCTACAAACTAAATGCTTGGCCAAGTTGGCACGGCATATTCGAATTTGAAAACGGGTCAGCAGATGGGAGACCCGTAAAAAGACAGGAACACTCAGCGCTGTTGTCTGTCCCACTCTTTTGCTTGTGTCCTGTCTGTTCAAAAATTCTGTTTTAAAGGTTTATCCGATAACCAGTCGTACGCCTACCTCGGAAACGCTCGTATGGTTACCTTGCTGCCGCAATGAACAGTGTAACAGCAAAAAAAAAAAAAAAAAATTGACACTACAAAAAAAAATATTAGTACCTGCTTGTTCTGACCCATCGGAACGGTGCTTGGTATGATCCACCTGGGACTCGGTTCGCGCGCAAAGCCACACCTGCATGAATGAACGACCACTTGGCAAGGTTCCTTTTGGCGTTGCATAAGTTTGTTTTCAAACAAACGGCACGAAGCAACGCGATCAAACATGACACGCGATCATGTGCATTGCTGACCTTCACAAATATCAAAGCCGATCGGTACAATGCAACACATTCCGAAAAACACCAAACGTACACCCCATCGAGACTATGCCGGTGATTGACGAGGGCCGGCAACAGACGCTAGAGTTAATTTAACCATCACAACAATTCAGTAATCCATACCTAACAGCACGCTTTCGCATACATTCGATAGTAATACTCCAAGATTCAGCTAAACGACCCAAATCACGCCTTCCCACTCGGAACGCCCACAAAGAAATTGATCACTCACTTGGTGTAGGCGCGTCCGAAGTCGAACACCACCGAGTTTTTCTCGGCGACCATGCTGCCTATTCCTTCGTAGATCGGCATTCTTGCTCGCAACTCTCCGATAACCCCGACACTACAAATAACAATTTAACATGGCCACCGAAACGAAACACGGAAGCGATTCACAGTCCACACACGCCCCGAATGTGTCTGCGAGAACCGAAAGAACAACACTTCGCCGATTAGGCAGCAGACATAATACAATGAGTAACTGGACATATGTTGACCCTTCCTCGTGTAGAGGTAACTTCTCAGTCATTTGCGCCTGAATTATAGTGTTATTTGTTGAGACAGCGCCACAATTTTGTTTAGCGTCACTTGTTGAAATTAATAACACTGTTGCTTGGCTTTTAAGATGAACAAAAAAAAAAACGCGCGCGCGTTTGTTATTTTAGAGGCATGCAAAGTTTTTGTTATTTTTGGTGCATACAAAGTTTTTGTTGTTTTACGCACCCCGTAATAAATCACCAATGTCCTGTCATCTAAGCTACAAAATAAGTCAGTACTTTTTATATGAAAGGATTAATTCAAGTGTTTTCTCAGTTATACTTTTAACTACAGTTATTTGAATAAACCAAACAAAAAAATGATATTAACTTGATTGCCTAGACGTATACATTGCTGCTTGCGTGGAGGTACAAACTTGTTTACCAACTTGAAGCATAATGTTAGTTATGGTTGCAGCGCCACTTTTTTACCTATTGCTGACTGTAAGAACTATTTTTGTCGTCTGCTTCACGAAAAAAAAAATTTTTTTTTTTCCATTGCCGATTTTCTTCCACACGCAACGTCTAAATGTGGCATTGATAAGCAAACCTGACAACTGACTCGGAGACCTCGCTCGGCATCGAAAAATGGCCACTGAAAAGCTCCCAAATACTTGACAATATTGTTCAAAACAAGCGCAGTAAAACAGCAGTTGGGCGAGCCGGTGTTCTGTGGCGCGGCTGCTGCAATCATGGCGTCTGAACGTGACAGCGGGCGCGTGCCGCATCTCGCGCTGCTTCTTGCGTAAAAAGAAAAAAACTACGCACTTTGCATAACTTGACAGCCAAATGGCGTCCGAATCGACCAAGTTGCAGCGACTCAAAGCCATACTGGCGAAGAACTCTGCCGCTAGTGCAGCGAGTGAAAAAGTAGTAAGCCCACTCAGTCAGCGCGCCACCGATTCCAGCGATAGCGTTGGTACGTCACTAGTGCAGGTGAGGATCACCAACGATCACCCGTTGCATGAACTTGGCAGCACTGGTCATAACCGAATTCGCACGCTGACGAAGTCGTGGAACATGTTTTGACTTGACAGTCCTAGTTGTTGATGTCTAGTGTCGTTAACCCGACTTGCGTTGATCGGTGGTTACTTGGCGTTCACTTAGAAGTTGGTTTGTTTGTTCGTTCGCGAAATGCTGTTTCTCGTGAGTAGCTCGATCATTTGACCGACTGTAATCAAACTTTGAACTCGTTGCAAACATGACCCCCGCGAGTTGCTGAGCCGAAGTTGAGTTGTGATACCTCTTTTTTTTTTCTTTTTTTTTTTTCAGGGCGATCGGTAAGTGATTGGATCTTGGTACTTCGCCTTCGATTCGATTCGCCGTTTTCTTTTTGAACCACAAGGCAATCGGTGTGTACTGTATTCGCATTTACCGTGCTACCTCTGCAATATAACTTCGTTGTTTGAAGGATGCAGTTTGGGGGGGGGGGGGGGGAATAAAAAAAAAACTGCGCGGTATTGTTGATCATGCATGTATGACCACTTAGGTCGACAGTATTCCCGTAAGCCTTTTTTTCTTGGCGATTTTTCTTTCGATGCTATGTTTCATGACACTTCAATCTTTTATGCCTGATCTTGATGCGTTATCCACGTGTATTTGTAACGTGAGGTGATGGATACAAGTGTATGATTTAGTGGAGGCGCTGGCCAGGCTTACGGCTGGTCGAAAATGGGGTCGCACATTTGTCTCGTTAATATTCATATTTATCGTTTATATGCACATCCTTTGAAAGGATACATAGCAGGAGTGGGTACAAAAGATAGTAATAACAAAAATAATAATCACAGCATAACCAGTTATGTACACACGTAATTTGTGAGAAACATTTGTTACTAAAGTACAATGTGCAGTAACTCAAAATAAGAAATCCAAGCGCTACAGCCCGTTTGTGAGCTTTTTGGATGGCATGTAACTGACAATGACCCTCGTACACAGTAGAACCTATACATCGTGTTAAACTCTTTTTCAAGCGACTTGTGTAGTCGGGAATTTAGTTGGTTGTTACCCGAGTGTACTGAATTTTGAAAAACAATTTGTTGGCTTTGCTGTCGCCTTTAGTTGTTTTGATGTAGCTAGCCATGGCCTTTTAAAGAGTTTTTTTCCTCAGCGATCGTTTTATCCATTATGTCTTGCTCCAAGGACTGCCACAAGCGACTATGAGAGTCTTGGTAGGCTAGTTGTAATCAGTGGTCAAATTCTAGACGGGCGTTTTTTTTTAACACAACTGTACAGTATCTCTTGGCAATCGAAGATTCATTGATAAATGAAACAGCACTGAGATAGGGTGGCCAGTAAGTGTTTAAAGTTGTTGCATCTAAAGTACAATCAATAATTGGGACGATGAACAGATATGCAGGTTGACACAATTTGTGCATTGTTTTGTCAACCTGTACGTTTGTTCAGCAAGAGCATTCAGCCTGTCTTCGTTTCAGTTTCGTGTATAGCCTGACACCTATCAACTTAATGATGAATCCATTACAATTCACACTTTTTCATGGCTGCCGTACCCTAAAAACCTTTCTCCACAGTGTCCAAAGCTCTATATTTATGATAGGCCACTTTGACAGATAAATCTGGTGCATTAGTGCACTGTGAGCTTTAGTACTTCTTATGGGCAACCTGCTAATTATCGTGAAGCATCCTTTAGATGACTGGTTGGTTCTAATAAGCAGTGGGTGGTAATGGTCTTCAAAACATTTCATGACCATTAAGTGGTTAACAGTGAGGTGAGGCGAGGCCGTGTTGGCCTCTTCCTTCACAGTACTAAGCAGAGCCCCTCCCAGAGCTCCATTGGCAAGCAACGGCTCCCATGCCAAGCTTGTAAGATCGTAGAATCCGACAAGTGTTAAAAAAGCAGCAGCTGAATAGGCTGGCCACCCTACAGTAAAAATAAAAACCTTTAGTAGTGAACTGTTTATAGGTGTACCATAAAAGTGCTAGGGCAAGCTGTCTACAACAGAACAAGCGAGGGGCACAATATGTGGGGAAAGCGTCACCAGAGGACCCAAACTTTCCTTAACTAGTGGACTGCAGTCTAAACACTTAGAAGAAGAAAAACAAGAAGGTGTTTAGTGAGAAAGAGGAGGAGAGGTCAGCCTTGAAAGCGGGTTTCTGGCCTGCTTCTCCTCACGGGGGTAAGGGGAAAAGGGAAAGAAAGAGGAGGGTATGATGAGGGGTGATTGTGGTATAGCACAATGAGTCACTGCACACAATGTCTCGGTCGGTGTAGTACACGCACAAAAGTCAGCAGATTCTATAAAGATTCTATTAGCAGATTCTATAAAGATGGGAATCTAAACCTGTCTTGTTTAGAAATGCGAGCAGGCCCTTTAAACTGCTTTGGGCGTGATCCACACGTTCCCAAGCACCTAAAAGTTTCTTTTCCGAAAAGGGTCGGCACTCTAGGTCATCTGTAAGGCATTTAGAGATTGTCTCTCAACTGCGTATAAAGGGCACACACACAGGATGTGACTAATAGTTTATGGCGTGTTACACAAGTTGCAGTTAGGTTTTTGCTCTTTTCCAGTCATGTGTAAGTATCGTCCTGTGTATGCAACACCCAGCCACAGTCTATGTAGTAGCGTTTCTTGGTCTCTCCTTAGTTGGAACGGAAGGCAAAAAACACAACAAGAGTCAAGCCTGTAAATGCGCTTGTGGCGATAATTTGGATCATTCCATAGTCCTTGCATGGATGCCTTCATACCTTTAGACAGCAAGGCATTGATATTGCCACGATGAGTCACAAGTACTGGGGGATTTATTAAACCACCGGGTAGCAATCTCTAGGACGATGCGTCAGTCCTGGTTGGCTCTCGAGCAGAGAAAAGAAAGCACGCGATCTTCTTTTTCCTCCAGATTGAGAGCCACTCTTGCTGTCGACCCACTACGTGCTAGTGGCATTATCCCCCCTTCCGAAAAGAAAAAAAAAAAAAGTCCCAAAAAGAGGAAAGAAAAGTACATAGCATCACCGTGATGCTACTACATAGGCACTTGAAAAAGAAATTGGAAATTCGGATAAAGTGAAAGTAAAAATTGAAGAGCGTGCCAATATAAGAAACGTCAATGAACGAGAAAGCAAGTTCACACAAATAAACAAAAAACACAAAGAATGCTGTACGGTAAAGGAAAAGTTACGAGTAACGCGCAATAAATGGTTTCATGCGCAACACATGAACGACGTCCGGCCTCAGTCGTGCCCTGCTCCGTGCATGGGGTGTTGAGTCCGGAGCCACTTCGTAATTCACGTCACTGACGCGGCGTAACACTTTATATGGGCCAAAGTACCGGCTCAGTAACTTTTCACTAAGGCCACGGCGGCGGACGGGCGTCCACACCCAAACTTGATGTCTGGGGTTGTAAAACACTTCTTTGTGGCGGGTGTTATAGCGTCGTGCGTCTTCCTGCTGTTGCTGGCCGATGTGCAGTCGCGCGAGTTGCCAGGTTTCCGCGGCACGCTCTGTGAATTCTTCGGCGTCAGTTGCCAACTCGTCTTCGTTTTGACATGGTAGCATAGAGTCTAGCATGGTCTGCACTTCGTGGCCGTAGAGAAGCCAAAATGGCGTGAATCGCGTGGTCTCTTGCACGGCGGTATTATACGCGAAGGTCACGTAAGGTAAGATCCGGTCCCATGTTTTGTGCTGTACGTCGATGTACATTGAGATCATGTCTGTGAAGGTCTTATTCAGTCGCTTGGTAAGTCAGTTGGTTTGCGGGTGGTACGCAGTTGTCCTTCGGTGTCTGGTGTTGCTCAGTTTGAAAACTTCGTCCGTAAGCTGCGCCGTGAATGCCGTCCCTCTGTCCGTTATCACACTGGAAGGAGCATCGTGTCGTAACATGATGTGGCGCATGAAAAATTGTGCTACCTCAGAAGCCGTGGCTCGTGGGATCGCCTGGGTTTCAGCGTAGGGTGTCAAATAGTCGGTCGCGACGATCACCCATTTGTTGCTGTCCGCAGACAGGGGAAATGGCCCGAGAATGTCCATGCCGACTTGGTTGAACGGCGTGCAGGGTGCTTCGAAGGGCTGAAGCAAACCGGCTGGTTTAACAGATGGTTGCTTTCGGCGCTGGCATTCCCGACAGCTCTTAACGTACTTCTTGATGCTTGCTGAAAGTCCTGGCCAATAGTACCTCTCGCTCACTCTGGCAAGTGTCCTTGAGTAGCCCAGATCACCGGATGTGGGTTCGTCATGGCAAGCGAAGAGGACGTCGTCTCGCATGTCTCGAGGAACCACCAGGAGGTAAGCACGGCTGTTCGAACGAGCGTTCTTCTTGTACAGCACACCGTCTTGCAGGCAGAACGACGTCAACGAGCGGGATAAATGACGTGGTATGATAGCGCCCTGGCCCTCTAAATGATCAATGATTGGACGAATCTCTGCGTCATCTCGCTGCCGTTTGCTCAAGTCTGATGCGCTAATGGCGCCCAGAAAGCCTTCGTCTTCCTTTGCTTCCCGACTGACGACATGAAGGGGTGCGCGTGACAGTGTGTCAGCGTCTTCATGCTTACGGCCGGACTTATGGACGATGGTGACATCAAATTCCTGCAGCCGCAAGCTCCACCGTGCTAGCCGTCCTGAAGGGTCACGCAGGCTTGCCAACCAACAGAGCGCGTGATGGTCCGTCACTATCTTGAAGGGACGACCATAAAGGTACGGGCGAAACTTTGTGATTGCCCACACGACTGCGAGGCACTCTTTCTCCATAGTGGAATAATTCGCCTCGGCACGGGATAGAGAGCGGCTGGCCTAGGCTATGACTCTTTCGGCGTCCTCTTGACGCTGAACGAGCACTGCACCGAGCCCAATGTTACTAGCGTCGGTATGGACCTCCATGTCAGCATCATCATCGAAATGAGCGAGAACGGGCGCTGATTGCATGCGCTGTCGCAGCTCATCAAAAGCTGCTTGTTGCTAGTTTTCCCAGCCAAACGCGTGTCGTCCCTTGTGAGACGAGTCAGAGGTTCTGCTATCTGTGAAAAGCCAAAAATGAACCGGTGATAGTAGGCGCACAAACCAAGGAAGCGCCGGACGGCTTTCTTATCGACAGGAGTTGGTAATTCGGCAACAGCGGCAAGCTTGTCCGGATCGGGCCGGATTCCTTCAGCGCTAACTACATGTCCAAGAAATTTTAGTTCTTTATAGCCGAAGTGGCACTTCGGTGGCTTTAGTGTGAGGTCCGCTGATCGGATAGCCTCCAGCACGCTGCGCAGGCGGTGAAGGTGCTGCTCGAACGTGGTAGAAAAGACTACCACATCATCAAGGTAGACAAGACAAGTCTG